GAGGCACGAGATGGATGACAAAGAAGAAGAACAAATTTTGATTACGCCGGTCCATACGATAATCTAACCAAAATGCTAGATTGCTAAACTTACTCAGAGCTCTAGCTATCCTGCATTCCATCCAACCAATACATGGTAGATTGGGCTGCCCAAATCCATCTTGTAGCAGCAAACAACAGTGACAGCCTCAAATCAGCTTGTGAAACGGTGGATGTGGGTGCATGAATCGGCTGCTGAGAACCTTGAATTCTTTTGTCATGCTCATTCAGCTTCTCGTGCCGTTTGAGAGCACGCGCTTGAATTTTTTTACGATTTGCTCATGACAATTGTTGGGTGTGCTTATGACATTGAAATCTTCCTCTGCATGATAGCCACTGTCCCCAATTGCTTTCTGCTTGCGTTGCCGAAGCTGATCTCTGAGGCCACGTTCGCGAAAGGTTGACAAGTCTGGCTCACCAGCCCGAAATGGTCCATTCATCCAAAGCAACGACTATCTTTCACAGAAATGCCAAATTCATAGTTCATTCCAGCCTTGTTGTATTTGTGGGAATAATACTCAGAAACTTGAGAGAACTCTGGGTGGCTCGGCTCATGTATCTAGCAATGGGTTCCATCAACAGTAATCGCCCAAATGTCATCAGCAGCATAATGCAATGGCCAGACAATTTTTTCGTGCTTCAATTGTTGGATTCTCTCAACGTAAAACCAAGTCCAGTCTCTGCACGTGTTGCGATGAAATCCCGTCGCTGCAGCGCGCTCATGCTCTGTTGGATATTGTCGGAGAAAGTGCATGGACATGAGAAAAAAATCAAGCCGAATTAAGCCAGCAGAGCTGTGTAACCTCGGCAGAAAGAGAAGCAGATACCCCTATTAGCTAGATAGCTAGCTAGAAGCAGATACCTGTAGTGCTTAGCTAGTGCTTAACTTGTGCTTAAATAGGTAAAAGCAGATCCCCTAGCTAGAAGCAGATTCCTATAGCAAGCTAAAAGCAGATACCCCAAGCTAGGTAGAATACTAGTTATATAGCTTTTGCTAGATTTAGAGTTTTTCCTGGTAGAAGCAGATCCCCCTACTAGTGTCCAGCCTTCTACGTATGTTAATTAACAAAATATATGTTAATTAACATACGATTTGGCTGAGCCAGCTTGCTATCTACCTTACCAGCCCTGAATAACAACATTAACCTGCTCGCTGAATAGTTGATAGTTAAGTTACATGTTGGTCTGTTAATTGACGGCTGAGAGAGCCAAGTTTCATGGGTATCAAGCTTGGCTTGCAGGCAGTCGGAACGCGCAACGCGATTTTCTTCATTTTTCTTTTCCGTAGAAAAGAAAGTCTGACAATGATGGATTGACCGCTCTTTTCTCTACCTTCCTGTCATTTGAATGCATGCAACATGCCTCCTGTTGTGGATGATACTCGTAAGGTAGTGGGTGGTGCCTGTTGGGCCCAGGCGAAGCATGTCTCTCGTGATGCAGGACGGATTTTTGGTTCTGCATGGTGTGCCGACACTTGGTTGGAAGGAATAGTCACCAAGGTAGACCTTAGGAAGTCCAATCCAAATGCGAAGAGAGCTACTACGTTCATTACAGCTTTGTACAAGGTCGGAGATGGTGAGAGAGAGAAGGAGCTGTCCATGCAGAGTCTGAAGGCGTCAAATCCAAATTCGAATCCAAATCCAACCACCACCGTTGATAATGCCGATCCAGTCGAACCAACAGCGGCACCCCCTCCACCACCCTCTCCTACCGCAATCGCCGCTGCTGCTAGCACCGATAACATAGAGGAAGGAGCTTCTCAACCTACGGGCACTGCTACGGCAACTGCAACAGCCGACAGCCAATCGGAAAGTGCCAGGGTGGAGGGTTCTTCACCTGAAAATCCGGAACATCAGCCCCGACATGATGGACGTACACCAGTGTCAAGCAACCATGGCTTCGATTGGTTCACTGATAAGCCCACTGATGTTGATGTTAATGGTCCGACATCTCGCAAGATGTGGACTATGAGATGCCAGTACAGTGGTCGAGAGTACACCCCTTGTTGTGATGAGATCGTGTCTTCGCGAAAGAAGACTTCAGAGTACACCCCTTATGATTTCTTCATGGCTTGCTTCCCCAAGACACAGCTGTACTACATGGTGTCGGAAACCAACAAGGTTCTACGAAAGGAAGAACGGAAAGCAACTACTATTGGCGAGGTATTAAAATGGCTTGGCATTAATCCACCCGTTTTGAGTTTGGTGAGCGGCAGAGTCTTTGGACCGAGAAGACCAATAACAAGTACATTCCTGCACCAAACTTTGGAAAGACTGGCATGACCAAGAATCGCTTTGAAGAGCTCACACGGTTCATGGTCTGGAGTGCTCAGCCAGAAGAGAAGCCCGCCAACATGGGGAATCAAACTTACAGATGGATGCTGGTGCAAGGATTTGTTGACCGTCTCAATGAGCATAGACAAGAGTACTATGATTTATCTTGGATTATTTGTGTTGATGAGTCCATGAGCAGGTGGTATGGGCTTGGTGGAAGTTGGATCAACATGGGCTTGCCTCACTATATTGCTCTTGACAGGAAGCCTGAAGATGGATGCGAGATCCAGAACGCCGCAGATGGCGTAACGTCAATCATGATGTATTTGAAACTGGTCAAGGCTACGGAGACAGATCAAGAAGCAAGGGACCAAGAATGAGCAACCGAAGACGTCGACTCTGGGTACGTATGTATCAAGAAGCTTACTCATGACTTTGTTGTTATTATCTAACACTTCCCTTCTTCTAATCCCGCGACAGGTACACTCATGGGTGCAACGTTCTCTATGAAATGGTCAAGGGATGGGCGAATACTGACAGAGTTGTCTGTGCCGACAGCTACTTTGCATCCGTCAATACAGCTCTACGTCTCAAGACTATTGGCCTACGATTTATTGGTGTTGTCAAAACAGCTACTAAGGGATTCCCAATGCACTACTTGAGTCGCTTCCAGCTACCTGCAGGAAGAGGAGATCGACATGCCGTCACAGGAGAACACCAAGGAACGTCTCTACTTGCTTTCGTCTGGTGTGACAGAGACCGACGCTATTTTATTTCTACTTGCAGTTCAATGTCGAATGGAATTCCCTATCTACGTTATCGATGGCGACAAGTTGATTCAACCAACATCAACACTGAGCCACAGCGAGTTGCACTCAACATTAGCCAACCCAAAGCCTGTGAGAAATACTACTCTGCCTGTGGTAAGATTGACCAGCACAACAGAACAAGGCAGCAGTCAATCATGATGGAGAAGAAGGTAAAGACCAACAGTTGGGACAAGAGAGTCAACATGTCGATCTTCTCAATGTGTGTTGTCCATTCATATGAGCTTGTCAAGGGAGCGCAAGGCATCGAGTCAATGTGGACACCACGAACGTTTGTCAAACAGCTCGCTGAACAGCTCATTGACAACACCTTCGAAGAAAGAGCTTTACGTAAGCGGGCTGGCAACCAAACAAGAACAACAGTTTCTATTACAGGCCCACCCACGCTTCCAACATGCGATCACCTTACCGCTCCCACACCAACCAAGCGACGCAAAAAGAAGAACAAGAGTCATGCTGCACAAGGTCCCTGCATTGAATGCGGCAAATACGTTACTCATGTCTGTCGAGCCTGTCAACTCAAGCAGCCTAACATCAAGGGCAAGCAGTATTGGATTTGCCACAAAGGAGGAAAGCTCTGCTTGGGCCGACACATCATCAAGGAGCATCCAGACAAGAACGCACGCAACAGAAGGTTCTCCCACGAGACAAGCGAAGACTGACTGTTGAATAGAGGCAGCCATGCTCTTGTTTAGGTTGCACAATTGTAAGTACTCGCTGATTGCTTCTATATCGATGAGGTATCCGTTTGTTGCTGTCGCTAACTGTTTGTGTTCTTTCTTTCAAACAGAAAAGTGAGAATCCAGGTAGATCCTACGGAACAATAGTACATTCGGTAGCCGTTGCAATTAATTAACATGAGAAATTTGAATCCGTGCTTCTTTTCTCCGTAGAAATCTACTGTGAGTGGTACTGTCGCTGTTCTCTTTTGTTATCTAACATTTTCTTATGTTAATTAATGGAATTCGCTGGAAGGCTGGACACTAGGAAGCATGTAAATAGCTTTAGCTGGTTTAAAAGTACCATCCTAGTTATTTAGTTTTTGCTGACTTATTTGTATTCTAACCCTACCCTTATACCTGCAGGGACCACCGTAGCAGGAAAAACAATTAAAGGGGTTGAGGGCTCTGGCAGCAAGACTGCCGAGGTTGATCCAGAATCTACGCGGCATTCTTCATTCTCAGATCGTTGGAGATCTTCAAAGATGGCGCACAGCACGGTTGGAGATGCTCCATATCGCGACAAGAACCTTTCGATGCTGGTTGATTCCTTGCAACTGTCGACAGTCTTCATGGAATAATCGGCAAACAGCAACCCCTCTCTAGCATCTCGCTAGGAGTGAGAACCACAAGCTGCCCTATGTCGTTCTCATCGTCGTAGTCGTCTTCGATGTCGGCCATGGTCTCCTTTTGATTGTTGCTGTTGAGTGGCTGTCATTGGTTTCTGCCTTGTCATTGGTTTCGTGATCTTGTCTTAAATCTACCAGTCTTGTCACCCAATCTTGTCTAGTGAGAATTATAGGACAAGATGTCGTGTCCTAATCGAGAATTAGGACAAAACGAGATTTCCAATCTTGTCTTAATTCCAAACCATCTTGTCTATACACGACTGCCCATTCCACAACGTTCCTGTAGCTAGCTAATAGGGGGATCTGCTTCTACACTGAAACCTTTCTGCCGAGGTTACACAGCTCCGCTGGCTTATAATAAAATTTCAATCTCATGAGGGCTCCCAAATCGAGTTCACCACGCATCACGCACTGCTTGTCTGATCGCGATGAAAGTCAGCTGGAACTGGTCTTGAAATAAGATGCATCTTCATGTTCCTAAAGACACTACAGCGTACCGGTACCGTAGAGGCTTGGTCGCCAACTAACTTTATTAGGTTTACTTTATTTCTAGCTAGCTGATTTCTACTTGGATTGATCACCTACTTTTTGATGTAGCAGAGTTGCTCGGCTCCGATGAGTCCTCCTTCGCTGCTTCGGCATTTTTCTTTTGTTGCTTGACAAAGGTCTGCGCTTCTGCGATAAGAGCAACCTCGTCGAGGGCGTTGGATGAGGAACGAATAGGTTGTCCATGACGCACTCGCTTCAGAATGTCTCCCAGCTTGAGAACGTATTCCTGGTGGTTGCTCACGAGATCAGAAATGTCAATATTCTCCACTCCAGGCACTGCCACTGTACAGTTACCGCACACGGGCTTAAAGCTCTCCATCATTTGTTTGTACTTGAACATCAAGGACAAGATTTTGTCGGTTCGAGAGTACACATTCACAAATCTCCCTGCAACGACTTGACGGCACGCTTTCCACGAGGAAAGACTCAAATACATGGGAGCGCCCATCACAACAACATCCTCTACAACCGAAGCAGGTTCTCGATCGAATTCCAACTCTTCGAGCATCCACTTCTTTTCTCTTTTGCTGGGGCTCTTGCCGTCCTCGTCTTGTTGGGCAAAGCCAATGGCTCGAGAGTTCTTTTGTTCGTGGTACTCTTCCCATTCTTGCTGGTACACGAGAAGTTGTTTGAGACAGGAGAAGACGACACGAGCACCAAAGGAATAGCCCAAGAGTGTCACTGGGCGATGCCCGGCGTTGTTCACCAACAGACTACGAGCAAGCTCTTTGCCTGCTTCTTCTGCACGGGAAACAACAACGGACCATGTCTCATCGATGGAATTCATGGCCTGGTGATACAAAACTGTGTTTGTGAGACCGAAGTGGCATGATGGCGAATGGATCGGCGAGACACACATTTTTCTTTCACTCACCTGGACCAAGTAGATTGGCACGGAAGCCGCCAATGCAAGGGTGTTGGCCACCATGAACTTTAGCGCCTGCTGCCCTGCACTCGCCGCCGTTGTGAGAGCTACTTCCTTGAAGCATTGAGAAAGCTTCATCAGCATATGGGTCTCCCAGTGCAAGCTGTAGACTTCACCGCCATAACGTGAACTAAAGTCCCAAACAGTCGCCAAGTGCGCTGGAGGGATGAGGTTTTCGAGCGACGATGAGGGTGCTACTTGTTCAAACACGGACGCATAGCATTGCCTTTGAAAGTGTCCCGGCGACGGAGCTTCTTCCTTTTCCTCTGCTGCCGCACTCATCTCCTCCGATACCACGCTCACAATGCTCTTGTCGTCCAAGGCCAAAACTGAACCATCGTCGGCATGATCTACCAAGCCATTCGCACGATCTTTCTGACTAGGTGTGGCAATAAAGTTCTGGACATGATCGGGGAGATGGGCATGCCTGGCCTTCTTTTCCTCTCCTCGCGCTTTGCCAATCTCCACAATCAACTTGTCTAGTACCAACACCTCCATTTCTGTCAGCGAAGCATCGTATCGTGGACCAAACCGCAGAGGAAACAGAGTATCGGGATTGCATCCGTACTTGTCCTCCAAGAGCTCCCAGAAGGTTGACTCTTCCTTCTTCCATCGTTTCAACAAATTGCTGCACACAGGTATCAGATCAGGATTATAAACTCGATAGAATCGTTGCAGTTTCTCCAGCTTGGAAGCGGGCGGCTTTGTCGGCGAGATCCCCCAGGGCCTTTGAAAGTCTTGTTTATCTGTCAACCACCCCGATATGCAGATTGTTCGGGAGAGTTCTGGTTTTGCAGGAAGCGCCGTTGGATCTACTTCTCCTTGTTGATTATTATTATTGCTGTTGTTGCCGTTGTTGGAGTTGCGATTCTTAAACGCCTTGGCTTTGTCACGCCACCGGGCAATACGTGGTTGTTGCGCTTTGGCCTGTTCTTTTTCCTGAGGAAGCAAGTCCGGTTGCGACGATTCACTGGTATCGTCTTGCTTGGCAGTGGTCGATGTCGATTGTACAATGGTGAATTCGGTAAGACCCGCCGTCCGTCGTCTCATTTTGTAGGCTGCCAAGCTCCCTCCGGCTACCCCAAAGATGTGCACCACGGCCGTGGTACTAGCCAAGGACATGAAAGTTCCAGCCACTGCTCCCATCCCCAGAAACGTCAATGCACCGGCAATGGCCGGTGCTGCCATGCCTCCAGTGACGGCCAAGAGCGTCCCAGCCACAACCCCGACGCCGCCAATTTTGAGCCCACGGACCAGGTGCTTTTTGGCACCGGAAAGTTTCTTTTTGTTTTTCTTGACCGTGACAACTTGGACTTCATCCCCGGCTCCTAATTCTTCGATATCGTCCAAACTGACTTCTTGCGCTGGAGCGGTTTCGAAACTGTCGTCGACGACATGAATGACATTGTCTTCGCCATCTTGTTGTTGCTGTTGTGCATCATTGGCCAGTTTCAACAGTCGTTCCGCCATGGCCGTTTCAATCTGTTCAAACTTTCGCGTGGCAAACGAGACCCATGTGGTGTAATTTTTGATTTTCCATTCCATCAAGTGGTCCCCGGAATACTCCAACGTTCGTTCGATATCTTGAATCAGTACGGCGACGGCGAGCGATTTGAAGGCGTATCGGACTCGCGCATCGTATCCCCGTTTCGTGGCATGCAACAAGTGTTGAAACAGCAACCAGCAGAGACATCGATAGCCTGCTCCGGGACTTAGTTTTGGCAAATGCTGTAATAGTTCCGGGTCGTATTCGGTCATCCACTCGTGTTGTTTGAGATATTGTTGTTGCATTTGTTTTTGTCTCGGATCGACTGCTGTTATTTCTTGCGCATTGGCCACATCCTCTGGGGCATCGTCCTGATCACTCCCATTGTCGTCACTGCCGTCACTGCCACCACTGCCATCACCACTTCCCACATTGCTGGACCATCGTTTGGACGACATGCGGCGCGAGACGACCATCAAGTTACTGCCCGCCGGCACGACACGAGGAGTTTTGAGTGCTTCGAGACGGGGTTTGGTTTCGTCGTAGATTTGTTGACTAATTTCCTTGTCGAGTAGTAAGTGATCGCAGGATGCCTGCAAGAACTGATCGGCAATAATGTACCGACGTCGATAATGTCTTGTGGCTGCCAATTGTAGTTTTTGTTGTGCCTTGGATATTCGTTTGCGGCGTTGTTTTTGTTCCTGTTGTTGTCGAATCGAGTTGGTATTGCTGTTGCTGGACGTGTTGCTGTGCGTGCTCTGATCATCATCGTCTTCTTCGTCTTCGACATTATGACTACTGTCCATACTAGTGTCTTGGATGTTGTTGTTTCTACCACGTCCCCATCGTCTCCATCGACGCCGTGCTGGACCGGTGTTGTTGTTACTGTTGTTGTTGTTGTTTTGCGCTGTTGGCTTTGGTTTGCTTTTTTTGACAGCCACTTCGTCCTCTTCCTCTTCTTCTAGAAACATGGAAACGTCATTGGCACTCCTCATGGAGGAAGTGACGGCTGCATCCACCCTCATGGCAGCTTCCTGGGCATTGTCAAGCTCCTCGTCACTGGAAAGAGTTTCCATGGATGTCATTTTTTGTTGCTTTTGTGTTTGCTTTGTTGGTGTTGTTTCTGTTTCATTGGAAGGTTTTGTATTTTCTGGTTGGGTATTATTGTTGTTTTCTGGGTGTTCACTATCATTTTGGTTGCAGTCATCTGCTTCTTCCTCTTCTTCTAGAATTTGTTGTTGTTGTGTTGTTGTGGCTGTATCTCCATCATCTTCCATGACATCGTACTTGTAAGAAGAAGTCAAAATGGCGGCCAGGCAGGTCTGTTCAGTAAAAAACCAAACACAAGTGAGTGAGCAAGTGAGTGATGGAGTATGCATGGATTGATCAGTGTGACTTGACTCACCAAGAATAGTTTTCTATCTTCCATGGAAGGCAACTCATGCTCTTCAATATGACTTTTGTCTTCTGATCCCAGAGAACAAGTCTCCGAAGCTTCAATTTCATCATCCAAAGTAAACAAATCCTCCATCTTGTACTCAAATAAAACTTTGCAAGTGTTTCCACTGAGCTTGCTTCCACTGAGCTTGCTTCAGCAAGATTGTAAATTGCCCTGTCTTTTAAAATAGAACCTTGCAACACAAATCTTGCAAGTCTTGCAATAAGCTTCAGCTTCAACTCAGCTTGGAAAATCCAAGATTGTAGGCAGGGTAGCAAACTAGCTGAATGGCTAATGACTTTGGGTAGCAAGTTGCTCAATTCAATTCTTCCTTTCTTGGGAGAATTTCAGTCAGATCTGTCTCTCTCTCTCTGTCTCTCTCTCTCTTGTCCTTCTGATCAGGACTCTCTCTCTCTGTGTGTGTGTCCCTTTGCCCCTGAACTTGTAGCTAATCTTCAAGGCTTCAGGAGGGATGGATTAGGTAGATAATAAATAACCAAGCAAGCCAAGAAAAAAGCTTCGTGGACACCAGTCTTTGGAATTTCGCCAAACCAAAATCTCCCAGTACATGTACTACCCTGAGTACGAGTATCTTGGAGAGCCAGCAGTGAAGAGCTAGGCTAAGACTACGGTACCAGTTGCAGAAGCCACAGCCCAAGATGGTTGGTTGCCGTTGAGCTTCGCCAACAAGAACAAGTCTAACACCAGTATCCTGTACCAGCAGACTCAATGCAGTGTCAATGGATGGTAACTTAACTGGACTGTATGTATGTATGTGGTCTTGAATGACACGGTCAAGCGATGGTTATCTTCTCCGTCTTGGATGCCAATGGCACGCGGTTGCTTGGTTCGACTTGGTTCGGAGGCAAGACCACCATCTATTTCTGCCCGTTGCTTTCTCGAAAATTGAAAGATCCGGTAGCGCCGGGCACTCCAAAAACCCGAACCATTCGGGTGACTTCAGGTCATTCTGTGACCACAAATGACTCGAATGACGTCAATCAAAGTCATCAGAGACAGCAAGAGCTCTAACCCTAGATAAGACTTGAAGACGGATGGACACACGTCAGTTCCGGCAAGAGTGACATCCAAGTCTTGCAGCTCCCCAATTCGATCCAGCTGGTCTTCTTTGACAACGGCAAAGAAAAAGGGCCATCAAAAGTAGATAGGGGCCATCAAAAGTCGAAAGATGAAGTGGTCTGCAGCCAACACTAAGAAATTTCGATCTCCAGGCATGTGTGCCACTGTCCATAATATAGCCACCATCCTTATCAAGCCCACTAGCTACTAGTAGCTAGCTAGCAATACAGAAGCCTTTCCTATTATTGTAGTATAGAGGAAGAATGGCAGACACAACCCAGCAGCAACCTGCAGCAACCACCACAGATGAGGAGACCAAGCAAGATGACGATGAGCGTTCCGTGGAATCGGCAAGACTAAGGGACAGTTTTATTAGATTGACTACCCAAGGTACCCCTGATCATACTGATGAAGATGATGCACCCTCCCAAGGCCCTTTTTACCGTAGGTATCTCACATGGATTACAACTGCTAACGATTACAACCACAACAATGGCAATGACAACAACAACAACAATGACAATAGTACCATGGACACAACCACAATGCACTCCACAACCACTCTTCCTCCTTCACTGGCACAAGCTCCTACCACACCGGCCGTTCTTACCATGCTGCTTCCCTTGGCGTGCATTGTCACACACATCATTTTTGCTTATGGACAATGGGCTCCCATGTGGAGATTATCACTCACAGCAGAAGATATGGATGTCACCGCACAAGCACAAACTGCACTCACCAAGAAAATTTTCAATCAACTCGGTCTAGACCAAACGCCAGGGTTTACCCATGACGGTGACACGTTGAATTATCAAATCGAACAAGAACACACCGTGCAAACATTCACCTATGGATTTGCGGTACAAGAATTGTGGCAAGCCTATGGCATGCCAGGCGTCTTTTTGCCACGGTGTGCCGCCATTTTACTCGTCATCTTTTCCGGCATTTGGCCACATCTCAAACTCATCTTGTTGCAATGGTCGTGGTCCTCTCGACGCTTGTCACTGACACCCAATCGACGCACACGGACTCTTGGGTGGTTGGCACTCTTGGGCAAATGGTCCTTGGCCGATGTCCTCACGGTCTGTGTCATGGTCGGAGTCCTCAATTTGGAATGGGTCATTGATCCACCCACTGTGAAAGAGGGAATTGCCAATAATTTGGCCATGTTGATTGATTTGGCCAAACAAGTTTGGGATGATGGACAAATATGTTCCGTCATGCTATCTTTTGATGCATCCGATTGTGGATCCAAAGACTTGAGTATCAAACAACATTTGGAATGTTTTGCCTGCAAAAAGTTTGTCTGGATGGCATATCATGAACCGGATGTGGTGGAAAAACAAGGAAAAGCCATTGTTAAGGGAATTGAAATGAGTGGACATGGGGCCGTACGATTGTCGGTAGTGGGAATGGAAGGGATCTATGCCTTTTGCATTGCCGTCATTTTGTCCGTTCTACTCAGTGTCATTGTTGATTGGTACAACTACAAGTACATTGAGACGCTGCGCGAAAAAATTGCTGCAAGACAACGGGGGGAGGATACAGATTTGACACTCTCCATCACAACAAATCCGGAGGAAGCAGCATCGCTCTTGTTAGTGGGCGACACTACTTCCGAAGCCTCCGAACCCTTGCTGGAGAACAGCAGTAGTGGCACACCCTTTGAACCACTCGAAATCATGGAAGATGATTCTTCTGTTTTGGATCATTGGGTCCAACGCACTACGTCGGCACCGGCCTACACGTGCCTCCATTGTCATCACATCCTACCCATGGTCACACTGGTGTTGGTTGGAATGGCCCTGTACACACCCTCCATGGAACGAAATGTTGGTGGTGCCATTCCCAAGTATCTCAAAGAGGTGCTGGGGCTCGATCTCAATCACAAATATTCCCTAGCGTCACTCCAAGACTTGACTGGAGCCGCCGGTGGTATGGATCTCTTGTTGATGGGTACCTTTGCACTCTTTATTGTCTTGGGGCCACTGTTGCGAGCCATTCTGGTTGTGTTGGTGGCCATGACCGCCAAGACAACAGCATCGACACGAACACAGCGCATTCGATCGCTACTGGTCCATGTCAGCAACTTTTTGGCTGCCTTTTGTGCCTGGGAAGTCTTCTTTGCTGCTATGTTCATGGTGGAATTAATCATGCCCAGTGCCACCAATACCATTTTGAATACACCCGCCTGTGAAATTCTATCGGGAGATGGTTCCTCTTGCCTCCAAGTATCCTACGAACGTGTTTCTACAACCTTTGCCTTTTTGATACTGGGATGGTGCCTTGTGGGTGGACTCTCCATTCACGTTTCCATGGAAGATAGCAAAGAGCGAATGATGGAACGACACAATGGACAAGTGGACAGCCTAGAAGCCTATCGGCCATTGCCCTATTTCGATGGTGGTTTGCCCCCAACGGAAATTCATGCCGGAAACAGTCGTCCATTGGCATTTGGGGATGACAACAATAGCAACACCAATGGTGGGGCATCCATGATGGAAGAACAGCTCGTGTAGCCTTGTGCGCAGCTGGTCTTCCTGGTGACCGCTGGGCACCAAAGATGGGAGCGATTCCCTGTGGTGGAGGTGTTCCATTATTTCTCCTCACTCTCTTTTCCAACTTTCCAAATCATGTCTTGTATCACAAAATCTATTTCAAGGGAAACCTACCCTTCTTGTGCTAAATTAAGAGAAGTTTGTCCAAACTCAATTGCACATTGTTTCTGTGAAGATTGATGCACTCAAATCCGGGTGCCACGGTGATACAGTTGCATGTATGGCTGAGCGGAGCTGAACGGCTAAACAGAAAGGAAAGTCCACGAATTTTGCGTAAACTTCTGGCCTTCCAACCTCGAAGGTAGTAGAGCGAAGAATCGGGGTATTATGGAAACAAGTGATACTACATGTCGGCCAGTTTGACGATCATTCATGGCCTTGTCAGCCCTTGGGTACTGCTGGTGTGAATAACGATGTAGACCAAGTCCCCAAGGATTGGTTGCAGGAGGGACAGTTTGTGGCAAAAGTGCATCAACGCACGTATACGCGAAATGGATCTGGTAGATACGGTACCAGGTACCGGGGCACGCTGATTCGATGCGACCAGAAAATGCGATCACAATGCCCCTCCTTGATTGCATGGTCAGTTGCTCCTATACTACAGAAGGAAGCAGACCAATGGAAGTCTGCGAGGACCCTTTTCTTCGATGTAACTTAGAAAGGAAGAGTGGCATGCCTCTACCAATAGGTTCCCGCACCCAGATCACATCATGTATGCTAGCAGCAAAAGCGTGAGCGTCAATCTTGAGCAGGCTTCCTCGCCAGTGTCTTGATTGATGCCTTCTCCTACTACACGACGGGACTGTCTCCTGGCCACATCGGCATGCATCAGGATACCGCGGGAACACGGAAAGCCTCAAATTTCTGTTTCGGTGGGAAGAATCGAATCATAGATACGGTAGCATTTGAGGCACGACTAGATGTCACCGATGCCGTTTGGCAAGCTTGGCAGCTGCCACTCTTGTCAAAAAGAATATATGCCGATCCCGTCTCGCCAGCACATTGAGATTGCGGTCACATCTGGCGGAGCCAATCCCAGATGAAGCCTCCCATGGAGAAGACATTCCTACCTGTGCCAACTCGTAAACCCAATATCGTCGTACATGTAGTTCAAGACATCAATTGAGCTCTGAGCCGTCGTACCGTAGGGAGGTGTTGACCCCTCCGAGTCCTGTTAAGAGGGGTGCCAACAATAACGATGACAGCTTCATTTTGCTTAGATCTTTTTACTCACAACTCGCTGTATAGCTTCTGGTACGTACAGTACCGGTGTGTATTCAAATGCGAAAGGGTCAATGTGCAATGAACCGACGCCAAGATTGTTTGTGGCTGGAATGGGGCAATGAGAGAACTGGAGCGGGACGGAGACTCAGGTTGTCGCTACATCCAACATCATAGGTTATTCACGCTGTTCTTTTCCTCTTCCTCTCTCTAAAATTGGCGCTAGAAAAGATCTGGCCTGATTCGTTTGAGAAAACATGCGTTTTTGGTTGGGTTTTCGGTGTCACGTGTTGGTTTTGGTGGGAGTCAAATATTTCGGTCACACTTCATACGGGCCTCATCCTGTAAGTGCGACCGGATGTGTCCGGCGTTCGGCAGCAATTTCAGCGTCCAACCATCAAAACCCTTAGCGAGGTTTCTGGCGAAGGCGTCACTCATTCAGTGCCAGTTCACTGCGTTGCAGTTGTCGAACCTTTTGGATGTGGCCAATGGTAAAAAATGGCAGAACAAAGAACACCAATCAATTCCACCCCAGTTTCCTTTCTCCCAAGTCCCAAGCGGAAGCAATGTAAGAGAGACAGGAAACAGATTTCTGTGTGCTACGTGCTCATCTTTGGATATCAACAAATACCCTTACAACAGTGCTGGCAACATCCACACAGAGAGATTTTCCACCTCCAATCGTTCGGAAGAGCTATTTATTTGTCCATTTTGAGATAGAAGCGCAAGTTCAGTCTGATCTGAGCCTGTGAACTGCCTCTACCGGCAGTACCTGGTACGGACAACAGCGACATTTGCCCATTCATCCAGCACCAACAAAGCAACCAAACTGAGGGTAGACCTGAATAAGATTGTTGAAGTGTCAGTCCACGTACCCTGCTGGTCGAATGAAGATCCCCACTCTCTTCTTGGCCTCCTGTCTTTTGGCCAGGGCACAAAATGAAGCCCCCTTGTTTAGTCCCAACCGAGTTGGCAACTATCTCTGTGACATTTATCTGGCACCCTCAGACATTGGTGGATGGGGAGTCTATGCTGGCCGCGACTTTGAGGGAGGGGAAGTAGTGGAAATTGCACCCCGATATGTCCCTCTCAAAACCACCGAATTTTTGCACAACAATGCCTTGAATGACTTTCATTATGGTTTCACCTTTCAACGAGATCCAGAAGAGACATCCTTTGGTGCCGCCATTTTTGGAATGTCCATGTTTTACAATCATGGAGTGGGAGCCCAACAAAATGTCTTCTACACTAATTTTGGCTTTGAACCCAACAAACACATGCCATGGGGGTCCATGATGCTTGGCTTTGTGGCCAGTCATGATATTCGACGAGGTGAAGAGTTGCTATCATCCTATGGAGAAACTGAACAGTGGTTTACATACCGTGACTTAGAGATGGCACAACGAGACGAGCAAGTGATTCCATCTCTGGAGAAATTGGCCAAGATGGAACAACAACAATGCGCAAAATCAATTGCAGGAATTGGGCATTCCACTTGGATTGATCGCATTGTAGCAGCGGAAGACATCTATGAAATCAATTTTCCTTACATTGAAAAGGAGGAAATGCTCCCGTTACAAGATCATCCAACGGCAGTTGCCAAGGAATTCGTGCAGGATGGTTCTCTCATAGAACAGGCTCCAGCGCTGGTGGTCCCCATGGCCACTTTTAAAGGCTCGCCACTGGAACCCATGATAATTGCTTGGACTGATTTGGATCCATCACTGCAGGAGGTGGTTCACGATTTGCGAGCAAAGGGTGTTTACAGGATGAAAGGAATTGACACAGAAACTGGACGTCTTGCCCCAGATGTCTTAGAATTCTTTGAGGACTCGGCAATCCTTCCTGCAGCAGGCCACATTGGCTTGGTGCGCAAAGTGGGACCTAATGGTGACAGCAACTGTCATTTGGGCATTGAATCTGCTGCAAGGGATATAGAGAATGCTGACATTGGAAGCTCTGGAATCATTTTGAAATTGTATGCTACCAGAGATATACAGCCAGGAGAGGAACTGTTGCTGAACCTTCCTGATTCCAGTTCCTGGAAGACCAAGATGGATCTTTCACAGCATTTGGGACTCACTGGACAGCCCATTCCGAAGCATCTTGTTGACACTTACAATCCTGGAGTTGACTTGCCATTGGATGACGAGGAAGAACCAGATTTGTGAGAGTCATAGATGGTTGGGGCTTGACATTAGGGCAAAATTTGATGGTTGCCTTTCTCTGTCAGTAGAGCTTACATTTCCTCATGAATTGATGTCTAGTTGCAATACGCAGAACCCCAGCCCTGGAAGTTGACCACGACTTCCCTTGTTGATAGCACCTTGGATTCTACTTCCTATCCTTCCACACCTGCGCAATATCGATAGGGAGACACCTGCGCAAAGTACAGCAGCCATATTTGATTTGTGGCCACCAAACTTCAACTTGGGGTCGTCCCATAGTGGAAAATTGACAAACTTTTGTGGCAGCGCAGACTTGAATAATGAGATGGTGCTTCAAGCGAAGGCAAGGTGGAGAGTGAAGCATTCATTCCACGCTTTCTTTCCGCCACCATAGCCACCAACTTTGGAGCCGGTACAGCCCGAGCTGACGAGCTTAATTAAGCGAGTTATCCATGGTCGATCCAGATCCAAGCACCAACCACACCTTCCCAGCTACGGTATATCTCTTTCAGCTCCCTCTCCATCTAGATCTCTTGCAGCCGCAAGTGCAAGGAGGACAGCCAAGCCCATGACGACGCCGGCGATGACTACTGGTCTCGGATAGAGGACCATGAGCCCATGAATGGTGACGATGGCAGAAGAGGCCATGACCAAGCAGATGGCGTGGAGCCCTTGGAGGATCGCGACAACGACGAACCCTTGGAGCTCGTGCATGTTGGTGACAACGATGATGTCGCTGCCTCAAGATCTCGCTCCGAATCCAAGAGCCACGACACGTGCAAGAAGAGAACAAGTCCGAAAGAACGAGTCGAGTCTGCTTTCCGAAAAACCAAGTCTAAGCACGAAGGCAACTGCAGGAAGAAACAAGCTGACGATGATGATGGCAGCGACGATGAAGATGCCCCAGCATCTGGATCCAACGGAGCACGCAATGATAGTCACGAGGGCAAGACTTGGTGACGATTGACAGCAATGCGTCAATGGACAAGTCCCACGCCTGGGGGTGGTGACAGCAGCCTAGCCCGCACAAGGGACGAGCCAATCGAACAGCAGTCAAGCCTGTGTAAGTACTTCGGCTACCGGTAGCTAGTCCAAGGATGACGAGTTGACTAAACACTAGATAAGACAGCTTGGTGTCCATGCCAGATTCTTCCAAACAATTCCTACACAATAGTTCGTGCATTTAGCCAAATGAGCCATTTTGGTCTTGGCCAAAGCAGCTTCGAGTTCTCGGCTCCTACAAAGTCATTCAGACGGTAGCTTGAGGAAGAGCGCTGCGCTTCCTCATTTTCTGCTTCATCCCGAACTGACGAAGAGCCCATGCTACTGCCTGCTGTGATTGCCAAGTGTTGAGACGACGAACAAATCAAGAGAGGACATCCATCAGCGAAGCCGCAGAGAACAATCTTCTGCAGGTGCTCTGCCCCCAGCACCTTCCAAGGTTCAAGACAAACTCTGACTAATAATGGCATGATGCAGCGGTGCTCACTAGCGGACCGTACCTTAGGAAGAGATGGAGCACCAAAAGACTGGAGACAGCAGAGGAACTGGCCGTTGCCTTGCACGAGGACGAACGAACCAAGACATCCCTGACGATCAGAAGATGAGATGGAGCTTGGACCGAGACCCAAGACGAACGAAGCACCAAGCACCATCCAACCAACCATCCAACCGTAACCATTCAACCAACCTACCATCCATACAACCATACAACCATACAACCATACAACCATACAACCATACAACCATACAACCATACAACCATACATCCAACCAAACCCCCGGCAACCCGATCAGGCAGCAGTTTGCGCCCTCCTGTAACTATAAAGATCAAAAGCTCTATAGTCATAGTGATAGCCTCAATATTTGCTATGGTTACGATGCTAGCTAGACTACCTTGTAGACAGCCTCAAAGTAGTCTATAAGCACACAGAAGTATGACTGTTCTTTGCTTAACATTTCTGTAAAGTCTGCACACAGAATTTTGACTGTTCTTTGCTTTTTTTAAAAACATTTCTGGAGCGCCTGAAAACGGGACTCGCGAGCACCTCTTCCGCGAATCCGCGACTCGAATAACCGCGAATAACCGCGAAAATCCGCGAGATTTAGGATGCCACTTTTAAAAGATATAGAGGAGTTGGTTCTTAAATCTCGCGGATTCTCGCGGTTATTCGCGGTTATTCGCGGATCGGCGGATCGTTTCGTGGATCACGGATTCGTGGAAAACCGTTAAATCCGCGGATCGTGCCACGATTCGCGGATTATCAGCCGCTCCTGTAAAGTTGAATACTCGGTATCTTGAACCCACTTATCTTATTAATTATGAGTGAGGAGTGTAGAGTAGAGCTTCTTTTTGCTTCCAGAAACGTACATGTAAAGGGCACTATTCATGACTTCTTCGTGATTGTGTTGTCATCCAGTCACGAATACACTCCCACCACACATTTTTTGTTTTTGTTTTCTCAAGGTAACCCCCAAAATTTTCTTTGGCAGAGCAACTCGAACACAAATGGAACCATGGGCAAGGCCAAGAAGCGTAGCAAAGGATCCAGTGGTGGCGACTCTGGTGGAGCGACGACCACTTGGGACAGTGCCCATCATTCGTTGCGACAAGAACAACAAGCCAATAAACGGTACAAAAAGCAGCAACAAAGGCAAGAAGAGGGAGAAGGAGAAGGAGAAGGCAAGCAACCAGTCAAGGAAGACAAGCATCAAGTCAAGGAAGAACGACGATTCAAACTGACTGCCAAATTGACCCATGATTCAAGAGAAAAACGAGAAGGTGCCAAATTGCGTCTGAATATTACCAAAACCCAACGAGAAATTGAAACACTGAGAGAACGATTGCGAAAATGGGACAATGCCGAAGAACAAGAACGTCTGGATGAAGAGGAACGCAAACGAAAGGAACCACCCAAAAAGAAGGGTCGATTGGGACCGGAATCTTGGAAACTCAAGGGTGCTGCTCGTCCCGCTTGGATGGTCAATGAATTCGATGTCCGTTACGAGTGTCCTCATCTAAAGGCACATGAAAAAGCTCGAGAAAAAGCCAAACGAGTGCAGAATCTACTCATTCTCTACAAGGGGAAATTTGGACAACAATTTGCGGATAACGACCTTTCCTATCCCTATCGACGGCAACTTCTCGCACTTCTCATGCAATACGGTCTACTCAACAAAGAAGCCAAAAAGTACAAGACGGCACGGACTGCTTTGTTGGAATGCCTCGATTTGGACGGCATTCAACATCCCATCACCAATGCCCGATGTCACTTGATGCGACTCTATCTACAAGTCAATCGACCCCAGTCGGTACATGAATTGTGGAATACACGACTCTCCGCCGCGGGCAATCAGGAAACATCCGTCTGGGTCCTCTATTCGGTGGCGTTGGTGGAATACATTCGTTGGAACGACTTTGGTGAATCCACCCGCCAACAAGCCGAACAGGCATTGCTACGAGCTTTTGCCGGAAATCCACTCTGTGCCTATTACTTGGCATTTGCCGACTTTTTTCATCAGTACATGGAATACACCGATGACATTGAAGATGCCGACGATCCACTGGGACAAGCCATTGAGTACTGTCATGACGAACAAATGGGCATGTGGATGGGTACCGAGGGTGCCTTGCAATGGGTGCAAGATACACTCTTGCGTGCCAAGGCAGACTTTGATTGGAATCGTCGACTCGAAATGATTGAAGCCGAGCAGAAGGCAAACGGTGAAGATGATCAGAATGGAGAGGAAGAAGACGAGGAGGAGTCACAAGAAGACCAAGCGGATCTTCTCATGTTTGTGGGCATGTTTCGAACAACCATGGAAATGCTAGAGGCCAACGGATCGCTAGCGCGGGTGCCACCAGCAATTGTGGAAGATGCAAAGGACAACAACCAGCAATCGGAAGGACAAGAAAAGAAGGACCAGGAATCGGAAGAGGGCGAAGGATCGCCGGACGATAGCGATTGAGAAGAACTTTTTGAACTTTTCTGCGTTAGATTTGAGTCAATGACAAGTTGCTAGCTAGTAGTGTGACTCCAACACCCTACACCCTCTACATCAAGCCGACAGTACCGGTCTAGAATCGAATCGGTTAGATCTGTAGTCTAAATGCATTTTCTATTTTTAAGTGCGTCAAACAACTGCCCAGACATGTATTGTATTCCCTTCGACGATCTTGTGAAGCTACGGTATCTGTACGGAGTGGAGTCAGGTTGGGATTGGATGATTTATTATGCCAGGAACAGGAGATGCCTCCTGTACAAGAGGCATCTCCTGGTGGCACAGCATAGGGTTCGAACAGCGCTGCTGGTACTTTCTGTCGACCCAGTACGAACGGATGCCACAGCAAATTCATTTCGCAAGGAAATTGTGAGAGAAAAAGGGGCTGGTTTGTTGTGCTGGTTGGAATGGGCTTTGTCCTCTTTCGATTCTTTTGAAGACTGGACAATAAAGCGGCTGATTCGTCGGATTGTTGTCGAAGAGAAGCAGACTGGAAAAAGGTTAGAATTTAGCTGAAGCAATGTATTTAGTTAGACATGGAAGCATGCATGCATGTCACGTTTGTTCAGCCGGAGATACTGGAACCACTGCAGCTCCAAAGATCACCGGCAAGCTGTCAGGTCATCGCTTTGCATCTCTTGGAGAGGTTAGAAGGAGACAGACGTTGACCACCAAAGGAAGTAGAGGACATGCTGTTGCCTAATGAAGAATCAGAATGGAACAAGAAAGAGGTTAGATTTGAGCTGAGAACAAAAATCAAAAGCAAGACCGCATGCATGCATGCATGCATGCCACTTTTGTTCAGCGAAGGCAGGAGCACAGCCAAAAAGGAGCAGCAACAAAGGAACCACCAGCCAAGAGGGATCACCAACCAGGAGCACAGCCAAAAAGGAGCAGCCAAGAGGGAGATTGCCAAAAGGAGACAGGAGCACAGGAACCACCAAATAGATGACAAGGAGAATCATTTCCTACTTGGAAAACTCCTCCGAAGAGGTCTTTTTTCGGATCAAATCCTTGCACCAGGAAGCACCAAACAGGAACCACCAAGCTAGCAAGTAGATCAAATCCTTGCACCAGGAAGCACCAAAACAGGAAGCACCAGGAACCACTACAAGTAAATGTCATGCATGCATGCTGCTCACTAGCGGACTGTATCATACCTGTTTACAGAAACGCTGGGAATATTTGCTTTGTCTGTAGCATCACATTAGGGTGCGAGCTTTATTCGGCCTGGCTCTCGGGAATGATCGAACAAACCAACCACTTTGTTCTTGCCAGATCCTCCTCGACGAGCGAGAGCTGGTACCAATAGCTATCGGAGTCTGCAATCATGGTAGACGAAACGAGTGCAAAGGACCTGGCACAGTTATCGCATTGGGCTGGACGATCTCCAGCACAGCAGCATAGAGTACAGCAGCTACTGAAATCATTAGACCATGGCATCTGCTACCGTTGCTGCTAGTAGCAGTCGAAGAACGAGTCGTCCTCGATACAGACATCCGTCTACGCGTATTGCCATTTGGGTAGGTCTCATGTTTGCCGTCACGGGCGCCACCATGAACTTTTCGAAAATGGTGGGAGAGCGCTTGGTGGATCTAAATCTGGAGGATGCTTTTCTTCTCTTGAGCAGTAGCAGCACCGCCACCAGCAACACAAATATTGATCCTGCCCGCAGACTCAGCACGGATGTCACGACTGCTTCGACTTTTATCACGAACAACAATTACATCAACGACCTTGCAACGAGCGACCATACAACGACAATCCCGCAATCCGACACGGAGGGACGTAAGGAGAAAATGGAGAGAACGAAGCAAGATTTGCTTGCCAAGATTGCTGCCATTGAAAACAAAAACAATGGCGAAAGAACGAGAAAGCCTCATCCGCAGAAGCAAAAGCAAAAGAAACATCAAGCTATTGCCGCAACTGAGATCAAAGAGAAGGTGGAATTGCCATCAACTCAGTTGGAGCCTGTAAAAGGTTCGAAAACAATACCAATACTACAAGATCAAACAAACACACCCGACGTACACCATCACAATGCGACAATGGCAGCAATTAACACGACGAACGTGATTGTCAACTTATCAGATTGTTACCTGCCTTTGCCTACCGGTACAACCAAAACCAATATCAACCTCTGGGATAATTCAACCGTCCTGGCTCCCTGGCTCAAAGAGTACTTTGCTTGGCATCAACAACAGCGTGCACAATTAACACCCGACAATTGGCAACAGCAGCGCTTCCTGATTCCCGTGGCTCGCAAGGGACAAAAGAATGGTGGAATGACGGACCGGATTCGACCGCTGCCGGCATATTTACGGCTGGCCGCTCAAACGAGAAGGATCTTTCTTATTCATTGGGGACGCCCCTTTCCGTTGGAAGAGTTCATGTTGCCTCCGGTTGGAGGTTTGGATTGGAGGGTCCCAGAGTACATGCTCAAAGATGTCATTGCGACGGGTCCACGCACCGAGTGGGAGAACATTGTGAGTACTGCCAACAATACCGAGCCCATCCTGCTCACCGCCAAGTACCAATCCTGGAACTACGGAGAGATTTGGTACAAGGAACAAACCGCGGAAGGAGAAGCAGCCGTCTCTCATGCCTTTCGAGAGATTTGGAAGGTGGTCTTTACGCCATCGCCACCGGTAGCACAGCGCATTCAGAACGACATGCGACAAATGAAACTGATTCCAGGAGAATTTGCCACGGCTCATATACGAGCCCTGTACGCGGTCAAGGACCGACCCGACGACAAGATTCGTGAAATGGCAATGAACGCGATGAATTGTGCATCAATGCTTCGACCTGGTGGACCCTTCTTTGTTGCTTCCGACTCGTCGCTGGCCATTCAAACTGCCATGAGCTATGGGAGACAAAAGAATGTCACCGTCGTCACTGCCAATCACCATCACTCAAAGAAGCAACCACTGCATGTCGACTTTCACAATGAATCCGACACGAGCGTAACTCCTGAAAACTTTTACGATGGCTTTGTGGACTTGCATCTCATGGCGGCGACGCGTTGTGTCTCCGTGGGTCCGGGAGGATTTGCCCGCTGGGGGCATTTGCTGGGCTACAATGATACTTGCGTCATTCATCACAACGGTCGTAAGTCACAAACGTGTGATTGGGTGGCAGGAGACAGCCACAGCCACAGCAACAACACCAGCAACTCAACAATGCTCGTGCCAGGGTACCCTTCGGAAGAAGAGCGAAACTCGATACAGCAACAAGCTTCCAAGCGCGCGGAATTGCCGCGTTTTCCAATGCCCATGCTCTAGACAGCTCTTACCCCTGAGTAAAAAGCAACCCATGTGCATTCGTACTTCTACCGGTACGGAGTGATAATTGCTTGACTGGGCCCAACACAGTTGCTGCATAGCGATGAGGCAAGGCATTGCCTACCACGGCTTCCAGGCAAGACCTCCACTCAGCGTCTACCCAGAGAGATCGAGGTAGCCAGTCATCAGTTGCCTGTGTTGTTCGACGTCGGAATAGCTGCAGGCCAGGTCAGCCGTCTACCAAGCTACAATTGCGTCATACCAACTCCACTCATTTCCGCGGTCCTTCTATGCATCCTCAAATCGAAGCTTGCTTGTTGTGTTTGCGCTTCTTTCCTTCCATGAGGTTGACCAAGCAACAGAAGGAGAGCAACGCAGCCAGAGAAGAAGCAATGATTCATCGGTCACCAAGAATGACTATTAGACTTCTTTCTTTCTTCGTCTCTCCAGTCATCAACTCCATGAACATGAACAGCTAGCTGCTGGCTAGCTAGCCGGCCACTTCCCGTTGCTCTTGCTTCTTGCTTCAATGGATGATAGTCAAACAACTGCAAGGCCTAAAACTTTCATAGATCCGCTTCCGTTTCGTCACAAAATGACCTGTGTTCCGAAAGCCTTGTCCTTTCCTTTCTTTCTCCTGTTCCAAGCTCTGGCACTGTGATAGCTAGCTGGCGGTGGCAAGCTAGCTAGCTAGGCACTGAATCAAAGCAAACGTACTTCGCTGAACTGGACGTCGTTGGATCTTGCTCAGCATCTGCAGGAATAGGAAATCCCGGACAGGTGCCTCGCGAGCCGCCGGCAAGAAACGTACCGCACCTGGAAGTCTTTTCCGCTACTTTCTTGGTGCGGGGAGCCTCCACATTCCTCACGGTTTAAAATGTCTTTTGCCGAGCTCTAAAAGCCCGTTCAGCCCCGAGTTGGACACGTTACGTAAGGAGAGGACTCTGACGCAGTCCTCAGCAAACTTGAGTCGAGTCCTCTGGCTGCTGTGTGCTGTGTACCTTTGAAGCCCAACGTAGCTTCGTAGTCAGCCATGGCCATCGAAAACCATGTCAGGCAGGAGAAGGATGGAGCAACAAATAGAAGCAGCAGTGCACCACTACCTACTAGAACTACTATGAACGTACAGAAAGACTTAGCCGAGCCGAATGTACATGCATAAATAAAAATTTGGTTCTGTGCTCCCCTCCTCGTTTTGGATTCTCCTTTTAGACTCAGCAAACCCTATCACTTGAAATGAGATGAAGTACATGTAGGTATTGTATTGAGACAGCTGCCGAGACACTGAATGCTCCAACTCAGCAGAGACTACGGTAAACTAAATGGCTGGCCTGCCTCAGCAAACACTCCTTCATACTGATAGCTAGCTCCACGTGAGAAAAGCTTCTCAATCTTTCTGACGAGAAAAGCTTCGGAGGTGCGGTGATGCGGTGATTCTTTCTTTCTTCAGGGTTGCTCCCGTTTTGGCAGCAGTGCTGATTCATCAGCCAGCCATCACTACCCCCACATTTGAGCTTTTCAGTCAGTTGTTAGTCCGTCTGTAGCAGCCGAATTTGGAGGATGCGAGCCGAATAAATCGGAATCAAATCAACAGTTACTGACCACCGCTCCAAAGCTTTCTAATAAGATCCTTTAGGTTTCGCCGATGACAGAGCACATGCGTGTGCTCTTACAATGTCATGTGTACGAAGAGAAACATCGTCACATCATCTGTAGCTCCTCCGTGCTCTGTGCATACTTTAGAAAAACACCACAACTTTACAGGACAGCTCGGTCCACGGTCCAGGACTCTTATACAGGTTCTGATTCAGTCTTCAAAGACTTCTGTAGCGTGGCAAAAACGAAAAATGTGAGCGTCTGAATGTCTGAATGGAATGGTCTGGAAGGTGAAGGAGTTTCCTTCGAGGACTTATCTCATAGCTGCGTGTCGGATGCTCTATGGCTGACAGTCACCACCACATCATTGCTTTCAGCTGCTTTCCCTGTTTTACAATCGTCAATTAATTAGAGTGGTATTTTTCCCTTTTAACACTGTGTCAGCTTTCGGAAACCACTTTCCTCCTCCAACCACGATCCTTAACAAAATATTTTCGGAGACTCATCTATTCCTTCGAAGAGTTCCAACTCAGAAAACTGCCCCGTAGCACTCTGAGTCCAGTCTCAGGAATTGATGAGTCAATGATGTGCGCTCGTTTGATCAGTGGCATTGGGTCTTGGCTTTCGAGCGGTTCAGGAATTCAGGAAACACCCCAATTCTCACAATTCTCAATCAAGCTCTTCTTGAAAGCCTCAAAGCAAACACCTCCACCCAATACCCAATACGATTCGATTCATTCAAAATGGACTTCGAAATCCCCTCTTTCATCTTCGTCCCCTGCATGGTCTCTGATTCCAAGAAGACCGGTTTACCATCAGCAGGTCTCATTCCTCTGATCCCCGCTTCGCGATGGTCGGAAGAAATTCCCAGCACAAGTTGTTCTCCTCCCAAGTTGCCCAAGAGAGAAATTGCGTTGCGCAAGATTGACAGTTTGCCCAAGCTCCCACGACGATCAGTTCCGGAAGAAGAGATGCCCACGCTCAGTGTGGCAATGCCCCGTCGAGTCCGAGCTCTTCCTCGACCTCACCAAAGCGTATCGACCTTCGGAAGCATCACCAGCATTAGCAGCACCACCGTCAACCTGACACGAAGCGTACGATCACGACCGGCACAGAGATCTCGATTCTCCGCAAGTGAGATTGTTGAACAGGTATACGAAAAGACCAGCCGTCCTGGACCCGAGAGAGTCACTGTGGCAGCAAGGGCAGCTTAAGTTGCACAACGATTCTCTGCCTTTCTACTACTCCTCTCTTCCATTCCTTCTTTTAGAAACAAACAACCAACTAACATAGACCGACCATGCATTCAAACTTTTAGCGCCCTTGTATTTATCTAGCTAGCCTACCTACCTAGTAGCCCTATCAACTACACAGCCATGGGCATCACTTACCGAGTTTCCTGGTGACCAGACAACCGACCAACGAAACGAAACTTACGTGCTACCGCTATTGCAGGGTGACACACAGCAAGACGAGGACTGGCCAATGCTGACACCCAAGCAACCAACGCACTGGATCATCTAGGTCAACGAGATGAGTGGACCAGCACATACTACCAGGTAGCTAGCCTTCAAAACCGTTCCAATGACCTACCAAGCTGGTTAGAGCCCGAGGCCACAAACGACGAGTCAGAAGCAGCAAAAGCAAAAGGCTAATACATCTATCCGATGTGTTGTTGAGATGGCTGAGTCAGTCCTCCGATTACATGCGACGCATGCGATGCACGCGATGCAGGTGGCACGTGGGCCCATGCATGTTTGCGAGAATTTGGTTGGGGAATGCGAAGGTTTAGGAATCTCGCATGGAAAACCGTTGTGACAGTCCTCTGGACTCAATCTGGCCGGGGGGGTACTACACAGTACACAGTACTCCATGCCCACCTTCCCACCTTGTACGAGTACTGCACGAGTACACTCTGGAGTAGAGAGCTATTATGAGTGGTGTGCTAGCTAGCTAGAAGTGTACCGTACTGTTTCTCAGTGGAGCAGCTGTGGAGCTTATGATTACTACGGTAGTTCTGGTGTTCTACTAGCTAGCTAGTAGCTCTCCATACTCCGTAGAAGTTGGAGGGATACTGTACCAGTACGGATCATAGGTCGGTGTTCGAATTCAGTATCATACCGGTAAGCATGTCCTACAGTACTAGTACTTGGAGTATGTGCTGGAACAACATCAGCTGTATACACACTAGGTGCAACACCAGATTTAAACAACAAATAGAAACACGGGAATACCAGTGTAAAGAAGATCCTGGAAGGCAGCTTTGCTACCCTATCACCTATCACAGAAATGGTACTGTAAACATAAATCTATACAATACATGAACAATATGTCTCTTCATCTAAGCACTACAGTTGATTTGAGAACTCATCAATTCTAAAGACCACCCTCTGCTACTGTACATACTACTCAGAGCTCAGAGTACAAAGAGAAAGCTCGAAAGCTCTCAATCTGAGAATGAATGTGAATGTCATTGTGTTCGCACCAACAAAAAAGTCCTTTATACCTCAAATTCTCTATTTTGAGATACTAGGTGGACAGATACAGGTATAAAGTCGGTTTTGGTCCATCCCTTTGAGACATCAGCGATACTATAGCAAAAACAGTACATTATCGGAAACCTTCTGTCTCACTCTCTATTTTCTGAGTTAACGGGACTCAATAATGGACCAAAATATTTAACTATCTCACAAAAAGTATAACGAAAATGAAATACACGTTTAACATAGGGTATGTAATGTTAAATCATGTGGTCAGTATGGGTAACATGCTATGAGTCAATGGTACTTGAGGTCGATTTCGTATTAATCTACTTATGGGTCAATCGGACATTGAGACAGTCATTTGCTTATAGACGGTTTTGGTCCATTTTTGGGCTGTAGCGCTGGTACACTTTCTACCTGTCTCACCCACTTCCTTCATTAAACTCGTACCGGTAGAGTGGGAAGTGGTATCTACAGTACATGTACTGTAGTACTAATACCGTAAATATCGAATGCCGATACCAGTTTTGGTACGATTCATGAGGTCTATAGATGAGATTATCTAGCCTCGATTACAAGATAAGGCGCTGTGGAGGGAAGGATGGTGCCTGTATCATACCAGTACTGGTACCGGTGGCGGTCCACCAAACAATGTATTTCAGAAAACGTACTACTGCTGTAGTAGTATTAAAATAGACTACCTACTGCATGATTACTCGAGAACAGTATAATATTATATAGCCTTTTAATAGTCTCAATGATACGAGTCGAGTCTGTATTTTGTTACGGTATGCAACTAGATAGATAGCTAAAAGCATGGAGCGAGGAATGAATAGAGTAGCATGGGACCTCACATGGGTATTTTAAAATATAGTATCGTACCGTAAGGTTTAGACAAAACCTTCAAAAAAGTACATCTATCTTGTAATAAAGGGACTGACAGTTTAAAATGTTAGATCTTTGTCAAACTGGTACTCGAGTACAGTACTGCTCTCAATTGCTTTCCATTCTAGTAATAGACCAGTTCGACAAAGAGAATCATTGTTAAAACCATGGGCGTCGTCAGCCATTACAGAATGTGCCTTCTTGTTCGAGATAGGAGATTGGACTACTATTTATACCAATAGTAAGGGCCACTTCAAGTCAGATTTACTAATCGTTACTAGATGGAGCTGGACGCTACAGTACCTTTGTGAGTCCTTTGTGTCTGGCAGATCTAAGAGTGGTGGTTCCGCTCGGAACATACCGGTACTCATTACTACTTTACCCGATACCTTCAGCCCCCTCAGCTCATCGAGATTTAAGGGTTTCTACTAGATGGCCTGTACGCTAGTTAGTGAGTGGTTGTTGGAGCTTGGAGCACCGCTTTGAGTCTGGGCTCACCTTTTGTTGGACCGGAGAGGGACCTTTGCAATTTTTTACCTCTCCGGTCCCTTCGTTTCCATTCCCCACAATATCACAAGTACAGGGCCAAAGGTACCCGCTAGCTAGCTAAGACCACAACAAATAATCAATCAGTATCATGATGGGTATCCCAAGGAGCATTTCCATTCCTACCATGATGGATTTTCAGTGTGAGAACAATCTCTCAAGAAGTAGTGAGCACAGATGGCAGGAAGGTTCGTTTGCGTCTCTGGACGACAGCAGCCGTCACTTGCCCAGTTTGCCTCGACGCTACGATGACGATGAACTACAAGGAGAAGAAGACAGCTCCGCCAGGCCACCCAAAATGCCACGACGAAGCAAGGAAGCACCGCCCAAGTTTCCTCAACGCCGACAGAGCATGGCTGTTTCAAACAACGATACTAGGAGCAAGAATGAAGGTTTGGCATCTGCAGCATGAGATTGATCCGAAGAAGTCGATTCCAATATTGTCTTTCTACCCATCTGAGCATAGTAGCTCCAAGACGAGAGTATCGATCGATCCATCAGACAGACTGCTGGTCACTACAGCAAAGGATGCTTGCACTGCCCAGGAAGATCCAGCCAAGCAGTCTGCAACGGTCACTGTCGGTACCGGATGCCAGATAAACTGCATGTCAAGATATTTGGCCTTAGTCAAGAAACGTTGCGGTGAGCAACCCATCGCCGCTGCCCCCATGCTGGCAATTGTAGGTTGGGTTTGCACCGCCATCACCCACCATGGAGCTGGAAGCAGACCTGATTGTTTTTAAAACGAAATACTACAGTAGTGATCTAACGAGTAAAACAAATACTTGCAAGCCATTGGTCAAACTAAACAATACCGGTAGCATACAAGAACTTTTCAACAACCTGGATCACTTTTTTAGAAAAGTGGTTGAAACAGTTAAAGGCCACAACACATTGGCTGTAAAAAGGCCGAAACAACCCTGATCTTTACCAAAACCGGTGCCGTGGCAATCAGCATGAGAAGAGCGTAGGGCTCAAGTCACTCACTAATCAAACCGAATCGAATCGAGTGCCATGGGGAACTACTAGTACGCTTCTCGGCCTTTCTACACAGAACGCAAAACTCACAATGCTCTTGTTGCAACCTGTCTGGAAACTGTCAGATTGGGGAAATTAGGCGCCACGAGGAATTGGACAAGGTAATCTGGATCCAATCCAGAGCCAACAACTGCTTGCTGCCTTTCCCTACCTGCCATTGCTCTGCTTACCTACCTCAGTGGGCTGAGTACACTTCTTACATGTCTCCAATCTGGGTAAAGGAAAGCCACATGTTACAGAAAGGCAACCTTGATTGTCTATCTAGTGGACGAGAACAGAGTAACTTCTTCCCTGTCACGACTTTGAACACCAACAGGCCGCCTATAGGACAAGGGATCATTCCAGACCCAGGCGTGCCCCGTCTCGGTGGAATCGAGGCTCTCTGCTGGAGCTGTTCGCCCCCTCATTCCTCTCATGGCCATGGTTAATTGGAACTTCCGAACCGCTCCAAAGTACGAAGATGGTATCGAGGCTCTCACGGAACTAAAGAATCAAACGCTTTTCACCAAAGTCAAACCCTATACTCAGCCTCTCTGTAGGTCTAGCTTTCACCTTCGAAGAACACAATGCAATGCACTTGAAACTGAGGGACTCTCAGACCTCCTATCCTCGTACCGGTGCCTTCGTCTGTAATTTTGTTGTTGTAGGTTCCGTTTTTTAAAAAACGATGGTGTTGCGTACTCGTACCTCTGTTCAGAAACGTAACGCAGGGGGGAAGAGTCTAACGCGCCTGCCAAACCCAGATGTGAAAGAATGTGACTCGACTGGCTCGATTGAGTCACTCACACCTCTTTATCGCTTTCGCATTCGATTTCCCACCTCGTTTGAAACACAATCATTCGATTCATCAGATTCTCTATCGGCGCGGAATGGCTCATCCAATAGCAAAACAATCCGAAGTATTCAAGGGCTAGTAAGGCAGAGGATACTCTTCAGACAGATTTGAAGGCCGACCGTCTCATTGAATGACATGGATCAGAGGTACCTGCAGAAAACAGGTCCGACTAGCTGTTCCGCAGCCTTTGCTCGAGATCTACCTTCTCCCCCACCAGATTTCTTCTGTTGTGTCGTCTAGTACTAGCTAGTAGAGAGGTATTCCAAGCAAGAAACCCAGAGCTGCCGGCTTAAGCAGCGCAGCGTGGCCGAACAAAAGCTCGCGGAAGATGGCATGGGATGTGTTGATGGGGGGGGAATGACTTCGAAGATCTTCGAGCTGTCATCTATACCAACAAAAAGGAGTTGACCCGCCCGCTTTCATAATCTTGTAAACGGCGTGATGGCCACGGATTTCGCCGCCAAGGATTTCACGGACAGGTGCAATGATAGGTGGAACAAAGCCTTTGATGAGAATTTCCAAGAGAGCAAGAAAGATTCGTTGAATCGATGAGCGGCGATTATAATTGAGCATTTAATCCAACGTAAAGCTTCGGGTGTAGCCCATACCGTGAGTTTTGTGCACGACGTTGTATTGTGGCAGAGTGCTTCCGCATCCAAGGCTCCTCTCTGACTATTGGATTGCTGGTCAATATAGATGCAACACTGGCATGTTTTACAGAAAGTGGAACGAGCGTCTGTTTTTGAGCTTTCCAAAAGCTAACTACGAAGGCAGATCTGGAGAAGGGACCTGGAAGTATTCTGAGCCCAAGGTGAAGTCGGTTTCATTGATGTTTACCTCATTCCAGCCACTTGCTCGTAAGCTTTGGAAAGAGTAGCGACGAGTTCCTTGGATACGCGTTGCGCAACGTGGGTCAAAAATTGTCGCAATGATATAGCTTTTCCGTTCCTTCTTGTCTTTCCGTTTCTGCAGATCTCGCACGCATTATTATCATGATTGTGTCACTGCTTTCTTTCACTGCGCAATTTTGAATGAATCAGAGAGAAGAATGGTAAAGGCGCGGTGAGGACGTGACGCGAGAGATGGCTGCTCGAGCTCGTGAAGTCTATGCCCCCCCGCGGAGAAACCATGTGCTCCGAGACTGTGAGACCCCCTGCTCACGAAGATGCAGCAACAGCCGACACCTCAGCTTCTTCCTTTCACATCGATGTGAGCTGCTGCCGAGCTAGTCCGAATGATTCAATCGATCAGGAGACAAATTTGTGATCCGTGTGGCATGTAGTGCCGGTAGATTACACTTCTGCATACTTTTACTATATTTGAATTCTTGTGGCCTCCATTACAATATTTAAAATCTAAGTGTATGTGTATTCGTTTTCGGTTCAACGTTTCGTAGATGCTGCTGCTTCTTCGCTATGGATAGCCGATGGTACCGCCACCTTTGCCAGAATGAGTGCGGGGATCTTCCAAAGAAGCCCGTCTTTTTCTGGCTGTTGCGTCGTTTCCGGCAGCTCGGCGGAGACGACCAGTGGCACCAACGTTTGATACAACGCAGTCCATACCTGTTCCATCATTGCTTTGTCGTCTTGATTATGGTGGTTGCTGCTACTGAGTCGTTTGGTCAGAGCTTGTTGCAACCGTTGTGGTGCTAGCACCGTGGCTTGGACTGCCTTACAGGCACTCTTGTCGTGTTGTTGACAAATCCATCGAATGGTGTTCCACGCCAATGCGGCATGTCCGGCTTCCTCCAGCGCAATTTGAGTCATTTCGGCTTGGATCCATTCTCGTTCGTGTCGGGACATCCATTCGTCTTCTTGTTTGCTATTGTCGTGTTGTTGTTGTTGTTGTTGTGGTTGCTGCTGCTGTAGTTTCTGAACCTCCATGGCCAACAACAGTGCCGAGAGAGTTTCGTCAATGCATCCTTCCTGCGCCGTCGATAGCGCCAATGCCGTCCCATTGCGGCCAAAGACATACGACGACGGCGGCATGGGTCCCGGTTCGACGGGTTGTTGTTTTTGTTGTGATAAGAAATGCGCGGCAATGGCAAATGCAGTTTTGGCATGTCGTACTTCATCTTGAGCCGCGGTCAATGACGCTTGAATGAGATTGGGCGGTGCCTGGTTTGCCATGAGTGCCATGGTAAACGCGGCAAAGGAGGATACAGATGCGTGTTCTCCCAATGCTTTGCGAGTCCATTCGTGCCCAAACGCTTGTCTCTGTTGTTGGATTGCGATTGTCGTGGAATTCTTGTTGGTGGCTGCTGGATGATGGCTAGTTTGTGTGGATGGACGGTCCATTCCAGTACCACTACTCCACAACGAACATGTATCCGTTGGTGAATGATGATTGTGATGATTGTGATGATTGTTGTGGTTCTTGTTTTTTAAAAGGGACGCTTGAATGACCCTTCCGTCTCGATCGACCAAGGGTCTTCCTTCCGTACTAGTGACGGCACACTGATCTCCCTCAAGTTGTGGTAATTGCACAGCGGGTTTATCTCCATCCAAATGATTGTCGGTTTTCATGACTTGCTGTGTGTCAGTGGGAAATGTCAATTGGACCTGATAATCCATGACGCAATTCTTATTATTCTCATTGTCATGATTGGTTTGTTGCTGTTGCTGTTGCTGTTGCTGTTGCTGTTTGGGATTGCGATGGACGACATCGATGACACGTGCCATGGGCGCCTTGACAAGGAGTGGATGAGAGCGACGACAGCCGTGATGTAGAACTTCGACATTGATTTTGCACATATTATGTCCTCCAATGCGGGTATCTATTTGAGGTTGAGTTTGAGTGGTATTGATGGGTCCTTTTTCTTCCGGTCGAAAGGGAATGACTCCGGTTCCATAGTCCGGTCGTTCCGGTGGTCGTGTGGCGACATATCCACTGGCCCTCTTCTTGTCAAATATGTTACTATTGTGATGATTGGCATCTTGTGCCCAAACGAGTGACAGTCCTCCTGCCAATGCCATGACCGTCAAGGATCCGTACATGTGTCGTTGTCTTCTGGTTCTTCTTGTTGTTCCCACGGTGATGATCGTGGGAGTAAAAAGAAAGAAGAGATTGTGAATCACCAAGACTGCCGTAGTGAGAATGGTGAGACATGACATATGCATAGTACGGGTGGATCTTGAGCTGGCTGCACTACTATTAATAGTATTCATCGAGCTCTGGTCCTTCCTTAAGTCTTCTTGATCTGCATTAAGATCTTGCTGTTCTTCAAATCCAATCAATGTATTACTAGTAATACCATGCTCACTGATACTAGTATTAATACACCGCGACGAATACGAGGTACGAGCCACGAAAGATGGAGGATCCAGAAAGGACACGTCATCGATGTGTATACTACCGGTAGATAGCTCTAGCAGCAGAGATACACGAATGGCCTCTGGCTGCACGTCTACCTGAATGGGAGGCAATCGAGACGACGGACAGTCGCTCCTCACCACAATCTTGGCATCTTGCTCTTCCAACGGTTTCCCATACTTGCCAAAGTCGTCGTCGTCGTTGTACCGGAGACTCGTTACCGGAAAATCCGAAATCAAAGGAACATTGTCCTGAAACACAGTCGTTGTTTCGTCAGAGTCGTACAAGACAAACACACCGTCGCGACTCTCCACTTGCAAGTCCGCCGCCACTAGTACTTTACTAGTAGTAGTAGTACTAGCACTACTGATGAACACAAAACACACCACCCACACCACACGGAGAGACAGCAGCATTGTCATTGCATGTATCATACAGTATGTTATTGTGAGAAAGATGTGGCTGTGGATTTTGTGGTGGTCGCCAACGGATCGATTGAAGCATCGAATCTTTTATCAATGATGACGATGATAAACACCAAATTCACAGCAAGCCCGACTCAGTTTCCACCACCCAGCAATGCAAGTGCAAACCTACAGTCGTACCTGGTAATTCAGCAACTGTTACTGGTAACACAGGAATGCCGAGGAGACAAAGATACTGCCCACATGCGCACAAAGGCATTATTCCTCTCGCCAGCTGCAGTCGAGGCATAAATCTTTAAACTTTCGTACGCAAGCACAATCTTCCTCGATAAGGAACGTGGAAACTAGTCCAGCTCAACCGACGATTTACCTTTGCTCGAGCCACCCCATGCAACCATGACGATGTACTCGATAGTACCAGCTAGCTAGCTAGAAACAGCCCGTGACTTGAAAGTTCTTTGTAATATCCTAACTTACTTGTTACTTTCTTTATCTCTTTCTGGGTCGTTCTCGTTCCTCTCCTACTGACTACATGTAATAATATGTATTCTTTTGTTTCTCGTTTTCTTTTCTTCCTCGTTTTCTTTTGTTTCTCGTTTTCGTTTTTTCGTTTTTCGTTTTCTTTCTTTTGTTTTTCGTTCTCTCGGTGTTTCGTCTCGTCCTTCCGGCAGGGGCAGATTTCTACAGACAGCCTCGATCCATACCGTACCGTACCGTACCGGCAAGATGCAATACAGTAGCAAAAAGCTGCCAAATTCCGTCCCTTTTCAAATAATGGAGACCGCGCCCCAAACTTGAGCGACGTTCAACCTTATTCCTGTGACAGATCATCTTCCTTCTTGGCGTTCTTCTTGATAGCAACCATCAATTCCTGAACCATGGTCTGCAATACGACCATCTGCTTCTGCTGATCGTCGAGCTTGGCGGTCAAGGTTGACAACTCCGCAACAATATCATCGTCTCCTTGTTCCCCTGCCAGCCACGCAAGCTGCCTAGTAGAACCACCAGAACCGCACTTATCAAAGAGGCTTGTGTATTGTGTACATCTTGACCAGGTTTTGATTCATCACAACCATGTTGTCATACATAGACTGCAGCAACATCCTCAACTGAAGCCATCGCTTCCTCACAGGTTTCTTCGCTTAGCTGCTCACGCGAATGAGCGGAGACGGTATAAGCCTAATAAAGACATGCAAGTGCTTCGTGTTAGATATACATACATGTACGACCCTTCAAATTTCGATATGCTCTGTTAGCAACAACCTATTCGTACCATGCGAATGCCTTCAAAAATGAGTTGAGTAAAGGGAAAAATACCATTCACCATAGCTGCACAGGTTGTCTGCACGCCACCACTGATATCATCAGGACACATTATTGCTCCTATCGCTTCCATATATGCCGAAGCCCCATCCATAATCACGTTCATTTGGAAATCATACTGCTCCCATTTGTCACCATTCTGAACCCCAGTGGATTCGGATCGAGCTATTGGCACGGGGAAAGAGATCCCACAACAATGAAATCAAGAATCCAGTTAGATGTACTAAACGTGCAAACTTGTGGGGGGTAGCAGCCCGTGCAGACCCTTTTCGTCGGCAACTCACATCGATCTGGTTCTGTAAGAGGGTCGAGCTGTACAGCGTCCCCGTCACACCCAACACCACCACCACCACTTCCCCGATTGAAAAATTCATCCAAAAAGGCAAAGTCCCGAGTGTTGTGCATCTGCAACACGTTTTCACAAATATCGTCATCATTGGTGTACAACTCATCAAATCCAAAGTACTCTCTTGAGTCACCACAATGCTTGTAGTCGTGGGGATCCTCTATCAATCCCGGTGCCAAGTACCTGGAGAAGATTGACAGTTCCGTAGCGGGACAAAGTTGAGCATGTGTGAGTGCAGCAAAAACACAGCCATATCACAGCTTGTGCGCATCCCAAAGAGTATTGTACACGTACACGGCGAAAGCAAGCTTGCCAGTATCCTCTGCATCATCATGAGCAGCTTTTACGCACTGCTGCAGTGTAGTGCAGTCGGCTGGCTTATAGGTCACCTTGTTCCACCCTGGGCAGAGCACGATTCCTCACTCAATCCTGACAGGACTGGCCCGGGGTTTTCGCATTGCTCATCACAATCATGCTGAGCCTGTCCAGACACTACACCGGGGGAAGCCACGATTCGAAGCAAAAAAGTCAAGGTTCGCATTTAACTTCGAGTTTATAGGTTCACAGTCGTCTACCCTTTCCACACACTAGAAAGTCATGACACCAAAAATTGAAGCAAAAATGCAAAGTCAGATCATTGGATTCTTGCCGTTGGTATCATCCGAAGCCGATCGGCCGCATTGGCATCATTGTCACTTCTTTCGAGTACTCACTTTCGCAGTTGTTGTAGTTGGAATAATAGTCAAAATTCAATGTCATGTACCTCTTCTGTTGTGTCTTGTTGTGTTTGCTGCTGCAGTCAGTTGTTGCCACAGAGGATGACAATGGCTACCGCTCTCGCAAGAGGATACGTACAACCATCGCTGCATGGAAGGCCTCTTCCCAACTCCTCGTGGAAATTGATCCTGTCCTATTCGGCTTACAGCATTCTCGTAGGCATGATACTCCTGTGGTAAAGCGCAAGAGGAAGCCTGTAAAACAGATATTTGCAGAACTGGGGCCATCTTACGTTAGACGTGCCTTTCGAATGAAAGAAGAGGAGTTCTGGCATCTTCATGGATTGCTGAAGCCTTACCTTAAGCCCAAGAGGAGCAAGCAGTTGCCATGGGGAAAGGCCGTTCGAATGGTACGCATCGGAGCTGTAAATGGGAGAATCCCCAGTGACACTCGTCTTAGCTGTGCAATTCGGTACTTTGCTGGTGGCTCCTCCTATGACATTGCGGTGATGCACGGCATAAGCCACTCTTGTGTGTATGAGTCCATTTGGATGGTAGTGGATGCTGTCAATAAGTCAAAGAGGAAAGCTGAGTTCTCCATTTCCTTTCCTCGTCGCTTCACTAAACAGAGGGCCATTGCGGAAGGCTTCAAAGGCAGGAGTAAGGCTGGTTTTGACTGTTGTTGTGGCGCCATTGACTGCATGTTGCTGTGGACAGAGCAGCCAACAGAGAGGGATTGTGAGACAGCGAACTGTCCATCAAAGAGGTTCCACTGTGCCAGGAAGCACAAGTTTGGTCTCAACTTACAGGCAGTGTGTGACCACGAAGCAAGGTTCTTGGACGTTTCCATCATGCATCCAGCTGCGTGCAGTGACTACCTTGCTTTTGTGACATCTCCACTTTATTTTCAGCTTGAAGATCAGCAGCGACCATTGCTGTCACAAGAACTTTGCCTCTTCGGTGACAATGCATATGCCAATACTGGTTACATGGCCACACCTTTCAAGAACATTGGCTCTGGAAGCAAAGACGCATACAACTTCTATCATTCTCAGGTTCGCATCAAGATTGAATGTGCTTTTGGTATCTTGGTACAGCGCTGGGGTATCCTTAGAAGAGCTTTGCCAGCAACCATGGGACTCGCCAAGTCAACAGCTCTTGCATTGTGCTTGTGCCGGTTGCACAACTATTGTATCCACAGGCGACTTGGTCTAGGAATGGATGAAGAGATAGCAGAGAATCTGTTGCAAGATCAGTTCGAAATTGAGGCCGCCGGTGGCATTCCCTTGGAAGTAAATGAGCGAACTTACCAAGGAGGAAGAGCAACAGTGCGAAATGATACATCCCCAGAACAACTGTTGCATGGTGGAGAGCACTTTGATGACATAGACCGGAACTTTCGAAGACAAGAAGAGGAACACCACAAGAAGATATATGATGTGTTGCCGCGAGATAAATTGCATGAGATAATTGCAACTGACGAGTTTAGCAGGCCTAAGCCTACTTCCTGGGAGTTGTAATAGACATAACATGTTAGTTGAAGAAGGTTGTCAATGGCCAAACACACAAGGGCATCTTACTGTTTTGGTTGTGGCTTTGTTTTGTCCAAGTCAGCCAATCGCTTGTTCAAACGACGTATTTCCCTTTCGTTATCTTCAACTTGAGCTCGCCAAAAGATAATGGCAACCTCGTTCCTTTCTGGACCAGTCACCGCTTGCTCTTTCATCAAGGCCATGCTGTTTTCCTTGAGTTCCTTCTTCATACTTCTTAGGTTCTCGAAGCATTGTTGGTAGCCAATTTCGATCAGGGCAACATTCCCTGCAATGACTGCTTGACGGACGTTTGAGACTTCCTCTTCATCATCGCTCTTTCTTTTTCGTTGAACCTTGGAAGTGTCCGTCTTAACTGCATCTCCAGTGGCAGCCACGTTGTCGGAAATTTGACTCACCACATGATCCAGTATCTGATACTGATCCGCCAGATGCCAAAGATAAAGCAAGTAAGGCTTTTCTCCTTTAGATTCGTGAACATAGGTAGCCTTTTCTTCGCCTGCTTGGAGATAATGCCCAAGTAGATCACTGCCCCAAGCTTTCTGAGATGGCATCTTTTCTGGTTGGTCCGTGGAAGCCTCTGCTTCGTTGGATTCCACATCTTCCTCATCCGCATCAGCTTGAGCCAGTTCCTCGACATCATGATGAATTTGACCCTCACCAGCTCCACTCTTCTCATAGCGAGCAACCAGAGTCGACAGCTTGGACTTGCAAAAGGTCCACTTTGACTTGATGTATTCGACAGAGCAAGGGGTAACTTCCGAAGCTAGAATCAAATCCTCAACCAGAAAATCTTCATGCAAATTCGGTATAGAGGGTATCTCAGCCAGGAACATATCGTCGTGATACGTAGCATGCAGCTCCTCGTAGAAGTTATCAGGAGCGTCAGTACGATTCCTTGCATCCAGACGCTGTCGGTCCATCACTTTCCCAGCCAATTTCAAAGACTTCCTGACGCGATCAGTACATGCAGCAGCAAACAAACGCAAGAAGTCACGATGTTCGAATGGCTGCTGCTTCGATTTCTTTTCACCTTCTCCTCCCTGTTGGGTAGTGACATTTTTCGTGGCATCGTGGAGAGAATTCTCTGTCCTTTGAAGGAACTTGACGTCCTCTTCAGTTTCGATTGGATGATCAGTCAACCATTTCTTCAAGCGAGTGACATTCCAGTTGTTGGGCTGTTCCTTCTTCCCTGAGATGGCACAGCGTCGGTTCACTTCAGCGAGCATCTTGGGCTTCTTGACTTTGAAGTTCCCAATTTGTTTCTTCTTCAAGAGCGACCAAGGTTCCTGTTCCACATCTCCAAGGTCACGAGAACCATCTTCCGACTTCAAACCAAGGCACATCATCAAGAGCCATCCCTTGTGGTTGTTCTCATCTTCGGTGTAGAGTTGACGAACGGTCTTCTTGGATGGCGAGGGCAAAACTGGTTCAGCTGGTTTCTCAGCGCGAGGAATCATTGGCCGACCATTGCTTGTTTGCGACTCAGTGAGAGTAGTGGTATTGCGACGAAAGTCCTCATCATCATTGTCAGTGCTAGTGGAAGAAGAGCTCATATTGGATGCTCCGGTCATGGTGACAATCAACACAATGGCCATTTCCTCTTGTTGCTGCTGTTCCAGGAAGAGGAGTTGAGCGAGCGATCTATATAGAACTATAGACACTAATAAAAGGAACACTGGCTAGCTCTATATGACATTAGTCTATTGTATTAATCTAATGATGCTTGCTTCGCCTACACATGAAAAGATTGGATTGAGAGTGCTTGAGAGAGAGGTGCGGCGATTCATTCCAAAGTTGATGCTCATTGCGATTTTTCATTTCAAACTCGTGATTGGGTTGAGGGTAGGCCCAAATTGAAGCTTCCCTTCCATTTTTGCCCTTGGCAGCTTCGATTTTGGGCTGCCAAGGCCCTTCCAAAAAAGGATTCTGGCAATCACGAGTTGAGGTTTTGAGGTGACAAACAGCTTCGAGCTTCGACTTTTGAACTTCGAATCCTAGCTTCCGTGTAATGTCTGGACAGGCTCTAAGAAGGAATGAGTGAGTACGATGTACATGTCGGATCTGGGGGTAACATTTCCATACAATGAGCATTGGCCACGATGGAGCATGCCACGGCTGCTTACTTTTCTGCCCCAGGAATCATCCTCGTTCTGGAATGGAGCAGATGCAGAGCTCTTGGTTGCAGTTTTGGCATCTCCTCATGCATAGAATGGGGCAAAGATAGTCTCTAATCGCATGGCTGATTGATGACATCAAGACTGCATGGCACATCAGGTCAATGCTGCTCGCTTTCAGTTGCTTATCAGCGGAGATAAGGCACAGCAATCATTGCATCCTACCGGTAGCTAGATATACAATCTCCAGCCAACGACATCTTCCTGTACATGACATTCCATGTACGGTAGATGATCGCAAGCATACAAAATGGTAAACAATACAGGTAATATTCCTAGCTATGCTACAGTGGCTAGCAGACTCTTGGTTGTGGATTGGTGGGCATGTTATTGTACGGTAGGTTGTCGTGTCTTCCTCGCCGAGTAGATCTAACGTGGAAACACAAGAGGGTCCACCCCCTCTCTCAGGTCTTTGTCTATTTGCATTTCAGCTGGCTTGAAGCACTGGATTTTTGTGACGCAACGGCACACGGCCATGTGCTGAATGCCTCCACAAGATTGGATTGAATCATTCGATTGAATCATTCGATTCGTGCGGGTTTGCCACCACTCCGCCCACCAACAACTCCATCATCGCATCGTCAACTGCCACCACTAGCTAGACTACTTGTACCTTCATTCCTTCTTCATTCATTATAATTCCCTTTAGCTTTGAGCTGAGCATGTTTGTGTCTGCACTATTATTATTGAGCGACAACTTGAATACTATCAATACAATCAATCCGTTGGACTTTTTGGCCGCCATTTTGGTTCCTCTGCTGTTGTTCGCCATGACCGCGCAAGCCATGGCGCCACCGGAGATTCCGCCCTTGGCCGTTTCCTCTTCTTCCCTCAGTAGTTGCAGTAGCAGAAGTACTGGTAGTACTTTTCTACCTCTCTCTCCAATTCCAAGCAACACACGAGCCGCTACTACAAGTACCAACATTCATCTTGTCATTCTCATTCACGGATGGCTGGGGAGTCCCGCCGAAATGACGGCCATTCAAGCGGCCTTGCAAACTCAAATTCAAATAATGGCGGCTGAAGATACCCCAGATACCTCATCAGATACCCCAGATACCCAAAATGGCCCTATTAATAACGACATCCAACTTCCCCCAGATACCAGTGTACTATTGCACAGTGTGGAATGCAACGATGGCAAGACGCACGATGGAATCATCATGGGAGGATGTCGAGTGGCTCAAGAAGTCAATGACATTGTACAGGAAATTCTACTGCAGGATGGACCAAAGAAAATCTCACTTTCCTTTATTGGAAATTCTCTGGGAGGACTCTACGCCAGGGCTGCGCTGCCTCATATTCAATGGACTGTCAACATTGACAACAATGACAACCAACAACAAGCAGAAACCATTCAGATTTCACCCAACGTTTTCTGCACCACCTGTACACCTCATTTGGGAAAACGGGGTTTGACCTACTTGCCACTCCCTCGCTTTGTAGAAACGGGAATTGGATATGCCTTGCAACCCACCGGACAAGATCTATTTGGTGTCACTACGGTCGTACAAGACCTCGCTTCTCAAGCCAAATACTTGACACCACTCTCCCACTTTGCCAAACGCATTGCCTACGCCAATGCCTTTGGCACCGATTTACAGGTACCCACCGCCACGGCAGGCTTTTTGGCCGATACTGAATCCCCGCATTTCTTGGCACCACCATCATCTGAACAAGAACAAGACGAAGAATCATCATCACCCTTTTTACTCACCGTCACGACGCCTCCCGATGACCAGGTCGTACAACAAACCATGGAAGCGTCTGATATTGCCGCACAACAAGACATGACGTATTACTTCCCCGCCACTTCCATGGCACGCACATTGGATGCTCTGGGATGGACCAAAGTCTTTTGCGATGTCCGCGACAAACTCGTTTCCGTACCCATTCCATTCAACCGCAAAGGCAAGGATGGAACCGACGATTGTAGTAGTGAATTCGATACGCACTCGACAAAGCAATGGACATCGCATCAACTCAAGAACAAATTGGCAAATCGCATTGATTACGATCAAAAATGGCCCATTCCCATTGGACATACCATGCTCATTGCCAATTCCAAATCAAAACTATATGCCAAACTCAATCGAGGGGGATTGGAATTTGTACAACACATGGCACACGACTTTTTGAAGGATCTGCTTATCGTTCCTACGTGTATGAATATGACTACTGGAAAGGACGAACCCTCGTCATGACAATAACTAGCTAGTCGGGCGAGAGGAGGAGATGGTAGAGATTAGGAAATAGATAGTAGTCAATAGATAGCAGCTTCTAAAGTTAGGAGGCTCATCTGACACGCAGCAACCGTGGTAGAGTACTGATAATGGCTATAGCGACGACACGTAGATTTGTTCATTGCGGCAAAGGCCGGAAAACAAACTACGGAATGATTAGATTACTCCACGCAAATAAATAAATAAATCGACAACAGGACACGGGCTACGGTAGAATCCATGAGAGCGGAAGTATGCAACCTTTTGGTCTTTGCACAGCCTGTTGGTTCTTCTTCGTTTTCGAAGACAGCACATACCGGTCGGTACCTTCGAAACTCATTTTACAATCGACGTTTGGTTAGTCGCTCGATTGGCTGGCTGCCGGAATAATGGTCTCGCTGAGACGCGTTGCATAGTAATCATCCGGAATATTGTCCGCTGGGATTGATGGCACGCAGTCAGGATGACGACGACGGCGGGCCGCTGACTCAAAAATTGAAAAGATGCTGGCGGGGTTGTTGGCAACATGTTGTGTTAATTGGGCAGGGACAACTGCGATCAATCAGCTACTGACTGGTCGTGGAATGCCCACCTCGCTGCCACCTCCTAAAGTGACTTGTCCAAGATATTGCGAGTGCACAAAGACATCTTGTCCATTTGCTACTGTCAATTTGAAGTTGAGATTCCCGACCATCACAACATAATTCGATTCGTTCCGCATTGATCGTTTTGTAATTGACAAAGTCAATGGAAATGTGATTGGGATTGGACTTGGCATTGTAGTGGACGTCGGTAATGGCAGGATATCCCAAGTAGGTGTCAATTTGCTGTTTCAGACGCATGGCATATTGGACCGTGCCTTCCTTTCCAATATCGCTAATGGCGGCAATGCTGCATTTTTTGGAATCCCGGCGTTGTTGCCTTGGCCAAGAGTTGGTCTTTGGGAATCTTGGTGGGTGGAAATAGGTATCCCCCAAACTGGGCTTGTATATCCCATACAGCATTTCGCATACCGGTAACTCGGGCTAGACCATGGCAGCCGGTGGTTTATTATACAGCGAATTGGTCAACTTGGAAGGATCATGAGCCGCCAGTCGATCGGACAACGACTCGGCATGCACAGGAACTACGGGTAATAGCATCTCTGCTGAACCAATGCCGCTTGAGTGAGAAAGGAACGGCGATCCGTCCGTTGCACTCCAGCGCCAAAGCAGATACCACCACCGCCACCATGGCAAGCAAGCGGATCAAAAGGCAACAAAACAGGACGAGTGGGCTCATTATTATTGGTCTTCTCAGGTTGGTGGCCCATGATCAATGCAGGTACTCCATCCTTTCTGTCCTCATCATGAAAGAGTCAGCAAAAGAGGGATTGTGGCTTCATAGATAAAGGTAGCTTGCTCTAACCCCCAGTTCGGGATTGTGGTATGTGGCTTGGATCTTGGATCTTTTTCACTGACACGGCTGACTAGCTGACGTCATTGAGAGAATCATAAGTGTTTTGATACATTCCACATGCAGGACTGAACCATCTCATTTTTTGAAGGGTCTCGTCCCATTTTTCGTCTTGGAAAATCCACGGCCAAAAGAGTCACGTCGACTTTACAAGAGTGGGTGGTGTACAAGAGTAAATCCGCAATGTGGATTCAAAAGAGGGTCACAGTATCGGTACGTTCATGCAGGAGTGGTACCGGTACCGCTAGCTAGTGTTGGAAGCTTTTGGAGAAGAATTTCACAACCCCCATTCGTCGTTCTCTTCCACAAAAGCATCTCATTCTTCCCTAGATAGATAGATTGATGAACGTCAGGTCCTCCAGTACCAACCAGGAGGGCTTTGAGGTGACAATGGCAGAAACGAGGGACAGTGACCGGGGGAGAGGTCGCTTGTCTACAGTCTCCATGAAGTATGACAAGAGCCGAAAGGGATATTTGAGTGATTCACAAAAGGCAGCACGTGATGCGGATGCGGACGGCAAGGGATACCTTACCGCGGAAGAGGCCGCAGCGCTTGCCAAAAAGTGTCTCATGCAGTCGACCACCACCACGAATGATCCACCTGCCATCATTCAGGAGTTCATCACAACTGCCGCCGTTCCCGTAGTATCGGCCCGTCCAATCATGGCACATCATAATCAGACCAGTGCCACTCCACTCATCTCTTGTCGAATGGTTCCGGATCCTTCAGAGCGTGGACTTGGGCGAATCAGTTTAGGTACTACTAATCCCAATGTCGACACCGCCACTACCACTACTACTGGAACGACAGCATCTCGGGTGACATTTCATGCTCGTACCATCGCTACAAACACAGTCAGCAGCAGCAACAACAATGCAGCGCCTGTTTCGATAACAGTTCCTTGCTCCCCAGCAGGTGGCGTTTGGTCTCCAAGCATGATTCACCTCAAGACAGAGGCAGTCAATGACTGTGAAACTGATGATGATGCACCCATTTCCGTCGTGGTACCAGTATCCATGCCACCACCACCGGACGAGAAGCCAAAAGGCCCTACTATTCATACTACTATGGACAGGGAGAAAGAAGCTGTCGGTTTGGAACGACCAGTTTCCGTTCCAGCACCTCCGGATGAGAAACAAGAACGTGGTGTGGACACCGAAGCACCGTTGGAGCCCACGGAAACTGACAATGACGACGTAAGCAACAGCAACAATGAACATCAAGAGGATAGCAATGTCATTTTGAGTTGCCAAGTCTCAAGAAGAAGTCATTGGGTTATCGCTTCAACTGCCTTGGTCTTGATTGCCATTGTGGCAACCGTGGTTGTGATGTTTGCTGTTTATATCACCATGGATCTACGCAAAGAAATGTAGATTACATGCAATGCAGACTCCATTCACAGTTGCTCTTGGCATAGGCTGGTTGCAATGGCTCTGGTGTTATGGTTGAGCAGCAGCAGTAGCTGCTGATCCTGTCTCTTACGTGCTCTGGTTGTTGACCAGTCGGAAGGATCACCATCATCCGCCATGGTGACGGCCCGAAATCGCGATTTACCTGTGTTTCTGTTATTTTTTAAAATATATTATATAAACAGCTTTACACGGGTAGTTCAGTAAAGGTTCCGGTGGAAAATCTACAAAGCCAAACCCTTTGGCCCCCGTAATGGTCCTCAATTTCTCGCCCCTGATCCCACAGAACCTAGCTAGTCCTGAATTGTAACTCTTCTCTGCTTAAGCCTGGCCCCGACTGGCTTCCATAGATAATCTGCCTCTCCAAACCCCCGTCTTGCATCTACTTACCCTTTGTTCATGAGTCCTACGGTATAGCTACAGTACGGCACATTCCTGCGGCGCCATGTACAAGGCACACAGTTTGACCAATCGCTCCTACAGCACAATGTCCTACCGTAGCTAGGCCTAACATTATCTGCAATATTATATCGTTACAATATCAGTTGCAACACTGTTCCGCCAGATCTTGCAGTGTGTCCTTGACCTGCATCCCCTTTGTGGACATGGCGAGCGAAACCTTCGAGGAGTGCAATGTGTTTCTGTTGCGGAACTCCTTGGAGAAAATCGACTCATCATCACAGTGGGGTCTCCCACTGCCACTCCTGGAATATTGTTGTTGTCTCTATTACTCAGTACCGGTATCTCATTGTTGACCAAGCAGTCTGCAGTCTGTTCCACTCCTGGGAACTCAATCTCATACACAGGAATCACTCCTGTTTTTCGATACATTGTTGACTCAAATCGCACTCCTGTAATCAATACAGGTATATTGTCGTACCGGTATAATCATCTCGGTAGCCATACACAGGCTCAAAGTTAACACTCTCCGACGTCGGAAGATGGATCGCGAACTTGAATGGAAGATCGCGTTTATGAAGCTTTTGTGGGCATCAATAAAGATACGAAGGTTCGGCTTGTGACAATAGAAGAGGTAGTCCACGGTCATTTACATGTATGTAGTTGTGTTTGATTGAAGATTCAATGGAAGTTCTTGGAAGATCCAAATTCAGTCACGGTGGGATTGCCTCAGTTAGTTAAGCTGTTAGTTCATAGACTATTTGTCTTGTTGCTTTTGACTGTTCCCTCACCCACCGGAGTTACCTGTATGGCTTCAAGTTGCCAGGGAAAGATCGATCAGCCGTCAAGGAGATCAACAGGAAACAGGAGGTGTCAACAATGGCCACTAGGACCAGATGGATAGGAGGGAAGCATAAGGAAGCGGGCCAAAGGGCCCGAGAGGAAAGGAAAAGGAGGAAAAGGGTAAACGGATCTGGAGCAATGACAATGCACAACCAGCCGAAGAAGAGGAGTCCAGAATGGGACAAATGTCGGGACGGATTGAAAGGTCAAGGAGGTAACTAGGAATTAAAGAATAGAAGAAAGAGGGACCGTAGAAGAGAAAGTTCAGATAGGCAGCCACAGGGCTGCAGTTGACCATTGTCATGGTCAACATCTCCATTGACAGATCCATCAGGCGACAAGAATGAGAGCACTGCTTGGGAGCCTGCTTGGTCTGTCATCTGCCACTTGGTCCTGGTTGAGCGGTGGTGACATCAGACTCCAGACCAACCAGTCAGTGGGACTCATCCCCACTGCATTGGCTGGCTTAGAGTCTTGCCTACAACTTTCGGTTTGTTCGTATCTAGCTAGCTAGCTTCATCCATCGTAGACATGCGTGTCGCCATACTGGTAGCTAGCACTACTTCCTAGAGTACGAACACAGTCTTCTCGTGTAGTGCCCGATTAAGAATACGGTCGGCTTTTGCCATATGAATGATTCCAGCAATTTTTGTCTGCTTAGTAAATTACGGTGCCACCAAAACAGTAACTAAACTTATTACTCCCCCATGTCATTACAAAAAGTGGTGTTTGGTCACCATTATTGAAAAGTTCTGCAACGATCCACAGCATTGCTTGAATTGGCCAACATAATATGGCTAGACGATGATAGTAGTGGATTGTATTGTATTCTTCACTGGTGGTGGTGTATTGTGGTCAACAACAACTATCCGAGGTACTTCGGGTCGAGTTATGATTCATGTTGGAAGTTTGATATCGTAAATCAATGGGTGGTTGTGCGGGTGGAATGAACAATTGTGGAGTAGACCGTTGCTTGTAGGCTTCGTACTGCAGTGCGAGTCGTGCAGCTTCTTGGAATGCTTCTTCTACATTAATGGCCGTTTTGGCGGAGGATTCGAAATGTGCCAAAGGACGGGCCATGCCCATGGCAAAATTTCCAGCAGCTCGTCGACACCATTCTTCCGCACGGTCGAGTGGCACGAGTCGATCGGCTTGTTTGTCCATTTTATTTCCCACCACGACAAATGGAAAACTGGATTGACCCAATGTCGTGTCGATATCTCCCAGACTATTTCCACCCACATGCTGCAGAAATTCACGACGCCAATGATCCAGATTATCGAGGGAATGCGGATCGGTAATGTCGTACACCAACAAACAGGCGTCACTGCCGCGATAAAAGGAATTTCCCAACGATTGAAATCGCTCTTGACCGGCCGTATCCCAAATTTGAAGTGTCACTTGGCGTCGGACACCAAATTGATCACTCACAAAAATCTCACGAGACAAAAAATCGGCGCCAATCGTTGCCTTGTATTGACCCGTGAATTTTCCACTGCTGTAGCGATTCATCAGGGATGTCTTTCCCACTCTACCATAAAACACACAAATAAAAATGCAAACAAGAGATTAGATGGGATCTATAGATGGGTGCACTGTATACCCCTTCAGTCAACTCTATCCAACCTGACTAACTTACCCCGAATCACCCAGAATCACAATCTTTAAGGTTTTCTTCTGATGAGACATCTTCTTCTTCTTCTTCTTCTTCTGTTATCTTGACTAAAGTGTTGTGGTCTTTTGTTGTTCTCGTCGTGGACCAGTGTGCTGGATCTTTGCAAAGGAAACCGTTGGATCGGACAGATCAGATTGAGGCGAAGAATGATTCGATTCGATTCGATTCGATTCGACTCAATTGAATCATTCGATTCGTCTTCGGTGGCAATTAAAACAGCAGAGCTATTAATTAATACCAACCGTTGTCCAATCACGAGTGTTTTACCTCAACCAATGCAATCCAAGAAGCAGTTGTTAGAAATAGCGGTAGCATATCAGGGAGGCTACTATGCACAGGATGAGTAACCGCAACTGTGTCAGGATCGGCGAAAACAAAGTCAAAGTGCAACCTTGGATCAGAGACCATCTACACTACAGTCGCCATGAAGAAACCCTGTTACCACTGCCACAATCACAGCGGCGCCCGTCACAGTCAAGAAGCAACCAATCCCCTAAGCTGCTTGCTCAATGCTCATCTCGAAAGAAGAAAAAAGGCATGCAATAGAGACTCTGAGATCAGCCATGAAGCAAACAAGATGTCTGGTACCGGTAGGTACCAGTACAAGAAAGTATCGGGAAAACAACTTCAATGTGAAAATTGAATCATCCCGAAGGACACAGCATGCAGATGTGAAAGTTGCATGCCACTTTGCAAGTGCTTTGCATCTCATCACAACAACAAGAACTCCACCATCCACGCAACGTCGAAGAAAAGCGACGGGTCCTTTTCAGCTCTACTGGAATGCCATGGATCCTTTTTAAAATTTCTCATCCAACCGTATTGTTGCATGGGCATGGGGGCAACTTCAATATCTCACGTTTTGAAGAAGATCAGAAGTCCTCCTCCACTTCTGCAGTAACCTGTGCTAGTAATGTACAAACCTTGTCTGTATGCACCATCAGAATGCTATAACGATGCAAAATACATGTACATGTAGACCATCATCTGACCACGAGGCAGATGAGATCAACTCAGCTCATGTGCGTTTGCGTTTGCTGACACATTGCTTGGGAGAGCATCCTAGCATCTATCTGGGAATGCAGCAAGGCTCAATCATCCATCCTCAAACAAAGCATAATTCGCATTGCCATCATTGATAGTGCCCGAACTAGCTACTAGACCTAGCTAGAGTTCTCCAGATGCCAAGGTCACAAGATCACGCATGACCGGGAATGGGATGTTCCAAACCAGCCACAAAGCCCGCAAGCGCGGAGACTGGAACTTTGCCCGAAAGAAGAAAGACGAGAGCTCTTCTGCCTTCTGATGTACCGTACCAGTATGTTGTGTGCGCCTGCATTACACGCACCATGAGAGCACGCATCAAGAAGATAGAGATCCAGTCTGCATGTGGATTGGGAATTCCGCAACTGCCGAGCCAGCAAAGTGACAATTTAGCTAGACTAATAAATCCGCATCAGACTACTCTAGGGAAATATACCGGTACCGGTACTCTCCTAGTAGTATCCAATCAGTGGAACTTATCATAAACTAATCTTCAGAGTAGACTACACTGCAAAACAACACCCCAGGATGTAGCAGTGTCTTCCGAATGATGAATGATCGGTCTGTCCGCTGCAAATTTCCCAATGGCAAGAGAAATGAATTGCTGGCATGCTGCATGCCAGATTGTCTAACGCTATGCACGCAACGAGTCCTCCACCGTCGTTTCCTCCATTTCCTCCTCCTCCGCCATCCACACCAGAAAATGGGCCACCCTTTTCCTGGAGCCACTGAATCAGATCACGAAAGTCTCCGTCATTGTCATAAAGGTTGTCAAAGTCGCCTGCTTGCGCAATGGTCATCGAGTATAGACGGTTCGTCACGTTGTTATTTGCCGGAATGTTCATCTGGTCCATCAATCCAACCAACCAAAAGGTTCCTGAAGAGCGCTCTACATCTGTTCGGTTGCTGGGATCTGTCAAACGATCAAACAGCTGGCGGCATAGTCTACTTGCCGGAAAGAGAAGGAAAAGGGCCGCAACGTCAACAACGGGGAGAAGAAAAAGAGTAACAATTACTTGTTGTCCCATACCGGTACAGTACTCACGCTCTTTCTTCTGGTTTTCTGCCACCTTCAACAGCTTCTGTGAAACAAAAGGCGGATAGAAGAAACAACGATGAGAGTCCACACAGTAGGCAGCTGCAGCACAAGCAGAAACAAACATACTGCGAAGGCTCGGATCTGTTCGATGGCATGGCTAGCCACGCCGCGATACTAGTAGGGTAGCTACAGTAGCTAGTAGACTACCTTCGTCCATGATAATAAATAAATAAATAAATAAATAAATAAATAAATAAATAACTATAAAGGGGATTACGTGAAAGGAACGGTACTAGGTAACGTCCGCTTGTAAAAAGTAGGGGAAGGGATCAAGGGGTTCGGGCGTGAAGTAGGCATATATGGACCGGCAAGGACTGAGGACGGGGATGAGCCGGAGGAATAGAGGGATCGAGCTTGGTGTAATAGCGCGTTGAAAGTGTTGTGCTAAGTGGGTAGATAGATTGAGGGCAAGGGATTGGTGTGCCAGCGTGAAGGTGTGTAGGGTTGGGTGTCAATGGAGTAGTTGGTGGGGTGACAAAGTGGGTATCAGGAGTGGGGAGAATGGCGGTTGGGGCTGAAAGGAGTTGGCTGTAGGAGCGTTGGGAGTGGGTGGGGAGTTTGGCAGACCACGGGGGTGCTGGGAGGGGGAATGGTTGGCGAGGGAGCCGTAGAGAAGGCTGGGCGAAAGGTCCCAGTCCAAGAAATGGGTCCACTGTGAAGGGAGCAGGATGATGCCTGCATTTTGGAGAGCAGTAAAGTATTCAGGCGGGACAGTGCGAGATTTTGTTGTGAGCTTACTTCGAATCGACTTGAGATGGGCCTGGGAAAGGGTTTTGGGTTGGTGGGAGACCGGGCACAAGAGGATTCAGGAGGGCTGGTAACAGTAATGTCGATAGCGAGGAAAGAGGATGGAGTGGTAGGGGGAGGTCGAAGGCAGGAGGAGTTGAGGGAGATGCCAATATCGGCAGGGCGTTGGTTGGGTAGCCCTGGTTGTCGAGGAGGGCTTGGGTTTCGCAGGTGACTCCGTCCTTGGATGGAGTGATGCCAGCAAGGGGGGCAAGGTGAGTGAGGACGTGGTACACAGTGTCACGAATGCCATCACTTAGCCGTTTCTTGCTGTAGTGGGTGCATTGAAGGAAATGGTCACCATAGGGGTCTAAAAGAACTCGTTTTGCAATGGTGGCAAGGTTGGTTGGAGATGGCTGGGGGGAGGATGGCTAGTCGGAGTTTCCGTTGGTAGAGGAGCTGGAAGATGTCGTTGGAAAGCCTGTTGTGAGGGAACCGGCGGTTGTAGGACCGGAGGGGGATGGCAGTGTAGTGGGAGAGAATGGAGGGGAAGATGGTAGTGGTGGAGGCAGGGGCAGTAGAGAGAATGAGTCGAGGTGCAGGCGGGTGGTTTTAGTGTAGATGGCAGAGGCAAGGCCTGGAGGTTGCCATCAGTGACAAATGTACTGGGGGAGAGGGGGGGATCAGAGTGGTGGGACGGGAGGGATGGTAGTGGGGTAGGAAGTGGGGCAGGAGGGTGGTGAAGAGTTGGAAGAGGGGGACGGTTGTAGATGGACGCTGCCAGGATGCAAGGGTGCGGGCCATGGTGGTGGGGAGGGAGGCAATGTGGTTGGGACCGACATTGATGCCGCTGGTGGCATATCGGAGGTTCCGGGTGGTGGAGACAAGGAATGCTGTGATGGAGGAGACAGAGTGGTTGCGTGTGCCCAAGCCGCCGGCAGATACAGGGAGATGCAGGAGGTGTTGGGAAACAGGGGAGAGGGAGGTGGCCGCACCAAGTTGGGAGAGGAAGGAGTGGGATGCAGTGGAGATGGTGGACTGAAATGGGGAGTGCCAGTCGAAGAGGGTGGATGAGGTGATGGTGGTGGGGTCTAAATGATAGTAGACATCGGCTGCAAGGAGGTGTTGAATGGAAGGTAGGGCACAAGAGTGGAAGAGAAGGCACTTGGTGTGCAGGTCGGTAGGCTGGTCCACAGCTTGGAGAGGTTGGTGTGTATTTGGTAGCAGCTTGGGTGGGTAGTGGGTAGCGAATGCTTTGGAGCCAATTGGTTGACCCAGAAAGCGGACACCGGCGGTGATTTCGGGGTGACAAGGGACCGCTTGGTTCTGAATGAAGAGGACAGCGGCTCGGAATGGGGGTCTTTGGAAGGGTGCCAGAAGTGTTTGTGAGGAGCTTGGTCTTGAGTAATTCAACTGTAGGCCGAGTTCTTTACCTTCGGTCTGGAAGGTGGTAAGGAAGGGGATGATGTCGGGGGGGAGGATGAATGTGTTGGTGTCATCAATGTAGGAGGAGACAGTGGCGTGGGAGCCGATGCCATCATCGCCTGTGTCGCCTTGGGCGATTCTGAGGGCAGCTTGCTGTTGAAGGAGGGCAAGAAGCTTGGACAGGAGGAGGCAAAGCAGAAGACGGAGGCAGTGGCAGCCAGGGGGCAGCCTTGGGCATGCCTTCTTTTTGGGTGAGGTAGCAGAGGGTACCAGTGTCATCATAGTAGTAGCACGATTGGGGTTGCCATAGCACAGGTCTAGAAGGGTATAAGGCAGGAGAAGTCATCAGATTCAAACAGGAAGTCTCGCACAGCAGCCGGGAGCATTCATTGAACATGTTGCGGATATCCAGTAGGAGCAGGACCCGGGAAGCTGGAGAGGGTTGGGGGAGGAGGTGACATAGCGATGAAGTTGGGCTCTGGCACTGTCACCATGAATTGGAGGCCACCTTTGACAGAGATGGCAAACTGGCCATAGGGAGGAGGAAGGAGGCCAGCTGAGTCTGCAGGATTTGCATGGCATATTTACCGCTGACGCGTCGGAGGGCACTTCCCATCCCGATGGGTCGAAGTTTGGTGGGGTCATCTGGGTCTTTGTGAAGCGCCATAAAATAGTTTGCGGAGAAGCAGACGGCAAGCTTGGGAGGGATCTTGTTGTCGAGGATGAGCTGAAGGACTTGGCTGAGGGCAGGGAGGTATGGCTGATGGGAGGTGCCTTTGGGTTGGTAGAGGCCGAATCCTTTGACGGTTTCTGGGAGGTCAGCGAAAGGGCCAGCAGCTGTGCCTCGCTTGAGGTGTCGAAGGGAAGAGGTAAGGGTGGGGAGGTCCATTGGAATTTGAGGTGGTCGACCAGACTGTCGGGTGGATTTGGGGTGTTTGGCGACATAGGAAGTGGGTTCTGGGTAGAGTTTCTCACAGAGCACTCGGACTTCTGGGGTGATGGAGGCAACTGGGAGGGCAGACACCACACGGGCATAGGCTGTATGGTAGTTGTCTTCATCGGCGGCAAGTTGGGCAGCGGCAGCATTGGAGGAAGGAGTTGATGCTGGGCGGGGAGCGGCATGGGCTTGTTCATACAGGGATCGTGCATGACCATGCTTGAAGTGGCGTAGGCGTTGTTTCACTAGGTCGTTGACAGAGATGTGGCAACCAGGGGGCTTGGGGAAGAGGATGAGCATGTCGAAGATGAGGAGTAGGGTCCAGAAGGGGAGGGACGTGGACTGATGGGACGGTCGGGAGGCTTGTGGAGGGAGTGGGGTGGTGGAGAGCTGGATCCATTGATAGATGTGATGGAGAGAGGCATAGTAATAGGACTTGGTTTCTTGGGACAGGCGTCTCCAGAGGTTGGTTCGGTAGGAGGGAGGGAGGGGGTCCAACTGGGTGAGCCAGAGGAGGGTGGGTTCCCATTCAGCAGGGGTGGAGTGGCGAAGTGTTTGTTGGATGAGTGTGATGTTGGAGTCAGTTCTGGGGGTAGAGGTGGGGGAGGTGGGGTGGTCCTTGGTGTTGTGGGCTTTGAGATACTGAGAGCCATGGGCCTGGGATTTGAAGATGTAGAGGCGGTTGCATGGTCTGCAGATGGCAAGCCCTTGTTGGGCAAAGAAGGCGTCAGACTTGTGGAAGTACGTGGGGGTTTTGTGGGTGGTGAGGATGTGGTGCTTGAGTGTGGCATTGGAGGTGACTAGAGTTGGGAGTGGGGTTGTGAAGATACACAGGGGACATTGGAGGGGTTGTGGGTGGGAAGAGGCAATATGGTGGGTTTGTTGGAGCAGTGGGGGTGATGCTTCCTCTGTACTTTGCCAAGTACAGTAGGGACACCCTAGGCGGTTGGCGAGGGGGTACGGTCGGCAGGAGGTTCACTGGGTTTGGTGCTGTGGGAGCTAGGTTTGGTGGTTTGAAGGAAGCGGTTGAAGGCAGTGTTGAGGTTCTGAGGGGTTCCATGGTCTGCGAGGGTGTCAAGGAGGAGGTGCATGAAGGGGCTGTAGTGCTGGGGGTAGTGTTCAGCGACAAGATGACGGGCAGTTTCAAATCCACTGATGGCGGTGGAGCTTTCGGTGATGCAGTAGACGATCTCGGGGATTATTTATTTGTTCCAGATGGGTCGTCACGTACCAGTACGGTATGATCGACGCCCGCGTGAGAATGCGTACTGGTACCAGGCTCGCTCTTACAAGCGCGTGACCTCGTCACAGCCTCTCACTTTATCACTTTATTTTTTAAATGGTAGAACTTGCAAACCATGCACATAGACTTTTGATAGCTAGTCTAGCTTCCCACACAACTTCAACATCTCACGTTTGCGCTACCTTGCTACGAAAATTTTTTAAGCTAGAAGTTAAAAGGATGGGCCCCCGCAGGGGGCTTAGAAGTTTAAAGATTGGGCCCTTGGGGCCCAACCACCAAGCTAGCTAATGGGAGTGGAACACATGGCCTTCTGGCTGGCCCTCAAAGCACTGCAGCAGAACCTCTTTCATCTCTGGCTTTGTCTTTTTGATGGACTTTCCCAGGACCCTGGCCCAATTCTTCATGTCTGCGAAGCTTGTGGAGGAGTCCAACAGCTTGGCTTTGGTCAGACCGCCTTGCTTTGGAGCAGCCTTTCTCTTGCCAGCGGCATGTTCATTGATCCTGGCCATCTGAACAAGCTGACCCTTGTCTCTGAGCAAAGCTTTGGCATGCTGGGGCCTCAGCCTGCCCCTGAAGTGCCTTCGATCAAATGATTCAGAAATGGCGCTGCAGATGTTGATCCAGTTTCCCAGCCGTTAGAAAATTCCTGGAGTTCACAGAGGCACGCCCTTTCTTGCCGACAGCTGCCAAGAACACGATGCCATTGTCGTCTACCTTGGGGAAGAGTCCACTGGAGTAAAAGTTCCGGATATAGTGGTCAATACAAGCCGGCGCCTCTTTGATACTCTCACTCATCGTCCTCAGATTGCGTTGAATACCTCTGCGG